AAGAGTAGCAAATGCACTTACCGTTAAGCCGATCTTGCTTAAGAGTAGACCACAAGAAATGGCAAAATAGTTTAAAATCCCTCCAGTAACACGGTTTATTTGAATACGCTCTACGTGCCGTAAGCTCTGACGATGAGTCTTCTAGCACTGCAGTTAGCGGACTTTGAAAATTGCGCATCCGCGGCTTTAAGCCAATCAGAGAACAGGGTTTTCTCACTAGCTTCCTGATTGGTCTGAAGGAAGCAGAACTGGAGCCGCTGATGCATCTCGGGAAAGCGCAGTGTTCTTTTTTAAATGGTACCAAAAAGCATTCGATTGTGATGGTACTAAACTAAATCCCCGAACAGTACTGCATGATGTTTTATAATCTTTTAACAGAACTAACACATATTTGTAATTGCGCGTGCACAATAATTTACAAGAAAACAAAGTCGTAAATAAAACGAATCACTTAACGTTACCAACGCAATTATTTATTTGTAGTTGGTTTAGTTATCCAATATTTATCTATATATTATTTATATATTGTCTTAGTTTTGTACACCATTTGACCGAGTTTTGTTTCAAGACTAATAATATTGGTAAAAGAGTGTTAAACTGTACATTGATTTTCTTCTTTATCTTGTCATTTAAAAAAAATGATTAAAATCTTTTTTCTCTGTTTAATCAAAGAGCATAGAATGCCACCCGCTCTAGTAATATGTTGAACTTTTAAAAAGCAGTAAAACAACAACTGTGATCCACATTCAACAAACACAAACATGTTTATCTTGTAGTTTTTTAAATGACCAGAAGATGGCTGTGAGAAACCATGACTGTCATGTGCTCACAAGAAAATACAGCTGGAAGCGTTCAAGACCTATCAGTTCATTCATAATCACTTTTAGTCACATATTGATGAAATATAATTTATGATGAAATTTAAATTTATATATAATTTATTTAGCACTTTTTTAGGTGTTGAAAAATATAAGCTTCATTTTCATCCTGGCATATTGTTGAAATTAGAATGATTAAACCTCCTTTGAAATGTTTTTTTCTTTTTTATTATTTCCCAAATTGTGTTTAACACAGCAAGGAAATTTATACCGTATGTCTGATAATATTGTTTCTTCTGGAGAAAGTTTTATTTCGGATAGATTTAAAAAAAAAAAAAAAAACATTTTAAGGTCAATATTATTAGCCCCATTAAGCTATAATTTTTGATGGTCTACACAACAAACCATCATTATACAATAACTTGCCTAATTATCTCTTCCCAAGTAAACTCCTCATTAGGTGATCGGTCACCTTCCATTGTGAAGGTTTTGCCTGTTCCGGTTTGCCCATATCTTTAATCAAACAGGAAAAACATAAATGCACAGGATGCAAATATGTATAGATGTAACATGTAAAACCATCAGTTAGGTAAAAAAAAAATGATATTCAAAGAAATATACTCACGCAAAGATTGTGCAGTTATAGCCCATGATAACTTCATCTAATATGGGGCAAACCACACTCCTATAAACTTCAATTTGTTTGGCAGAAGGGCCAAAAACCTAAAACATTTGAAATTAGACATTTAATGAGCATCACTGCACAGGATATCATTAAAGCTCACGATGTGGATGGTTAAAATAAGGCAATCACTCACCATATCAAAAGTGTATGTTTTTCTTGCTGCCTTGTCTGTGGCACCTCCAGTACGCATAATTACCTCTTTTCGGTTCTGGTCACATTCAACAAAGTGTGAGAGCCAGATTTACGCTCCACTGTGTTAAAGGGTCTGCAAATTGCACATCAGACATAAGATTGGTGAAGATAAAAAAGGTAAATGTGAACTTACAAATATAAACATACAAATTTAACTTAAATTTTTGCATTTACTTTAAATAAATATAAAAAATATTATAAAAATAAAAAACTTTTATTGTAAAATAAATAAATTATTTTGTGGAATTTTCTTTATAAACGTCAGAATGTTAAAAGACAAATCCTTTCTTATAGAGCATTAAAAGTAACCTAACCTGCCTAGATAACCTAATTAACCCAGTTAAACCTTTAAATGTCACTTAAGCTGTATAGAAGTGTCTTGAAAAATATCCAGTCAAATATCATGTACTGTCATCATGGCTAGATAAGATAAATCAGTTATTAGAAATGAGTTATTAAAATTATTATGTTTAGAAATGTGTTGAAAAAATCTTCTCTCAGTTATATTCTAAGTGAATATATTTTGAGTATTTCATCTTTATTGTTTTGAGACCCAGCGTTAAAATAAACCATGAATAAACAAACAATAAAAAGAAAACATAAGAAATAAAAAAAGAAAACTCAAATAAAACACAAACTATAGGAACAAAGACTAACATATTTCGTTACAAACATGTCTGGGGTGAAATATGCATGAGAAAAGTTAAATAGGAAAAATTATTAAATTAGAAATTTAACTGGAATGACACAATATACACAGGCTACTTGTGAATATCAAACGAAAGACAGTACCAACAAACATTTAAAAATATCAACAGTCAGTGTTGGGGGTAATATATTACAAGTAATGCGATTTACGTAATAATATTATTTTTCCAAGTAACGAGTAAAGTAGTGCATTACTTGTTATAATATTTTATTTATTTTGAAAATGTAACACAAGTTACTTTTTATTGTAATTAATCAGCTTTAAAAATATTAAAATGCTGAATCAAAAGTAAAGTAGTCAAAATAAATTACACAATCAATGAGAGAATGCGTTCATTATTTTGAAAAGGAGACTGTCTTAACGGACAATGATACTTTAGAAAAATAGTACAAAAGTAGCAAACACATTGCTTTAAACTTTTGATAATCTGTATATACTGCATGCATAGCCCTGGCATAAGGAATTCTCAGAAAACATAACCCTAAAATATTTTTGATGTGTTTTTTAAAGGTAAATGTAGGTTTTACAGTGTGTTATTAATTACAGAGCTCCTCTATTTAAAAAAAAGAGAGAAAAAAAATTTCTGAAAGAGATCAAGCCTCAGCCAGGTATTTAAAAGTTGCGCAAAAATAACTCAGTAACGTAACACATTACTTACCATAAAAAATAACTAAGTAACGCAACTAGTTACTTTTGGGGAAATAACTCAATAATGTAATGCATTACGTTACTTAAAAGTAACTATCATCAAATTCTGCTATTTTAGTGTGAGTAAAAGCGCTACATTTTCTTCAAACATCCATACTGCCTACAAGTGCGACTTTTATTTTGAAGTAGCAGAATCTCTTTGGATTTGTTGTGTAGTTAGCAGTGCTCGCAGTTTCCGCGTTGTTGGGGTGCTACCAGAAATGCATTAAAAAGAATATACTGTGCTATGATAAGGCCAATTTTAGATTATGGCAGTATAGTATATTGCTCAGCATCTAAATCTCAGCTACAAAAAATTAGTGTTATTCAAAATCAAGCATTAAGAATAGGAAGTGGAGCATTTCGAACATCGCCCATTCCAGCGATTCAGGTGGAAATGGCAGAACAACCAATAAAGTATAGAACACTTAAGCTGAAAATGGCATATTGGAGCACTATAAGAGGGCATGCAGATACACACCCAGTAAAAGCAATAATCAAAAACTGTTGGGAACATGAATATAGCAAGAACAGGAGTTTCGGGTGGAATGCAGAATTGGAGGCCAGGAAATTAGGATTGGATCAAATAAAAATAGGACCTACATTAAGTATACCAGATACACCTCACTGGATGTTTCAAGTGCCACAAGTTGATTTACAGATACACAGTATAATTAAGGATAAGAACAGGAGTCTGTCTAAAGATAATCTAGTAAGACGATATCTAAAACAAAAATATTTAAATTATACACAAATATATACAGATGGGTCTAAAAATCCAGACAATGGTTATACAGCAGCAGCTCTATATATTCCTAACAATAAACAAAATGTTTCAGTGAGGTTAAGTAATCATATATCAGTTTTCTCAACAGAATTAATGGCAATATCAATGGCAATACAGTGGGTGGAACAAAATCAGCCATCAAGAGTAGTGGTGTGCTCTGATTCATACTCAGCACTACATTGTTTGAATATGGGGACCTCAGAAACACGACAGGATCTACTAAATGAAATATTTCAAAACATAAATAAAATAAACCAAATAGGAGTAACAGTAAAATTTTTATGGATCCCTGCTCATGTAGGAGTAGAAGGAAATGAAATAGTAGATAAGATGGCAAAAACAGCATTGGGGAAAGATGAGGTGGATATTGAGATCCCGCTATCTAAAACAGAAATAAAATATATTATAAATAAATCAGTAAATAATCTTTGGCAAGAGGACTGGGATTCAGAATCAAAAGGAAGACATCTGTATAATATACAAAATAAAGTGGGGAAAGAAAGGAAAGTATATGGGAACAGGAAGGAAGACACAGTCATATCCAGACTTCGTATAGGTCATTCCAATTTAAACAGTTCACTATTCAAGATAGGGAAAAGGGAAACAGAATGCTGCAGACATTGTGGACAGATCGAAACCATAGAACATGTATTAATCAAGTGCACAAAATATAGAAGAGAGAGGGATCAGTTTAAAATAAAACTAAGAGATTTGGACATGACAGACATTACAATCACTAACATTTTTAAAAAGGCTCAGAAAGAAACTAAAGTATATGATTATCTGCTAAAATTCTTGAGGAGTACAGGTTTGTTTTACAGGATTTAATCGGAAAGAATTATATTTTGGTTGTTTAGTTAGTTTTATTTAGATTTTTATTATGAATATTGTTTATTATTATTAATTTACCATGAAAGGGTTTAAAAAATGTGTTTTTTTTTTATTTTATTTTTATTTATTGAAATTTTTTATTTTTATTATTATTATTTTTTTTAGAGAATAAGTAGTAAGCCTTCCACTCATTGAAGTCTCACACTCCAACACAGTAGGTGGCGGTAATGCACCTCAAGCTGGTTTGCCACCCGCCATTAAACGAAAAAGAAGAAGAAGAAGAAGTTTCCGCGTTGTTTGCAGTAGCGGGCTTCACAGGCGTGCAGTAGCCTGACAACAGCAGCAGCAGCAGCAGGAGGGAATGGGTAGAGAGGGGCTCCGCACCGTTTAACAAGACACTCTTCAGCACAACACGACCATTAAAACAATTCACCATCGGTGAGCTCTAGCCTCAATCTACAAGCACCTCCCGCGCTGATCGCTTATGTTTGTTTTTCCTCTCAGGATCTTGAAATAATCAATAAAATCAGCCGAAGCTAACACGAGCTCGCGTGCTAACCTCTGCCAGCCTAAAAACCGAACTGTCCGGTGTACATTTGGTTGGGAACTGTCCGTGCGTTCAACCTTTGACCGTGTAAATGCAATAACGTACGTGCTTCGTTACATGAGGGTTTTAAATGAGGTAAATCAATGTATGGTGTTTAATTCTTGCGTGACGATGCCTTTTTAGCTAACGTTACACGCGTCTGCTAGCCTCAAACGTTAGAAGACTGATTCACATGGCAGGCGTATACTGAATATGAGCACAGTTTGAGAGCTGGGGATGCACTTTATGTGTAATCAGAGATTAGCATTAGCGCAGAAGTCGCGTTAATGGTTGGCAAACTGACAGATGCATGATTTTTTTTTTTGGAGGGGGGCTCGGGTGTGTTGCTGGCCAAGGCCAAGGTCGCGATGAGGCCTAACTGATTTGCATGATTAAAAATCTTTAGGGTATGGTGATATATTTAGATGCTTCTGTGATTGTTAAGGTGTTCATAGTGCCGTAAATATGTTGCTGGAGGGCATTGATTTTCATCTGCGTGGCATTTGTTTGTGTAAGAAACATTATTGTTGTGTGTGGGGTACGTTAGTCTCGGTATTGAAGTGTTTTCTTTTTATTTTAGAATCAAGTCAGTGTGGTATTAAAAGGCATAGTTCACCCCAAAAGGAAATTTATGTTGTCATTTGCTCATCCACTTTAGGTTTAGGACAAAACCTGTCCAACCCCAAAACAATTTACAAAGGAATGCTGAAAAAACTTAGTGAGGTGAAGTTGGTTTTATATTCCTTCATTTTAATGGTTTCTGTATTGTTTACCATGCTACTTTGAATATTCGATCTGAAATTGCATTTAAGTATGATTTTAAAACAACATTAGCACTATTTTATTGACGCATTTAAAGGGGATAGTTCACCCAAAAATGAAAATTATGTTGTCATTTGTTCATTTACATGTTCCAATCCAAATTCTTTAGTTGAACACAAACAAAGATACTAAAGAATGCTGAAATAACTTACTGAGGTAAAGTTGGTTTTATATTCGTGCATTCGTTCATTTTAATTGTTTCTTTAATTGTTTACAACTCTATTTTGAATATTCGATCTGAAATTGCATTTAAGTGTGACTTTAAAACAACATTAGCAATAGGGCTGTGCGATTTCTTAAAATCGAATCGCAATTTGATAGAGGCTGCAATATAAAATGCATATGTAAACAAATAACATCTTCAAAACCAGTCCGCTATGCTTCAGAAGATTAAACATGCTAGCTAGACTTTCTGAGATGGTGTCATGAGGCATCACAAACATGATATCGGTTAGAACTGCACGATTCTGGCTAAAATGAGAATCACATTTCTTTGCTTAAAATAAAGATCACGATTTTCTCACAATTTTGTAGATGTAAAATAAAGGTATGGTAAAAACAAACATATGGCACAACCTCAATAATAATATTATGTGTAGGTCTACTGGTTTATATAAATAATTCTATTCTATATTAATCTATTCTTATAATAATTCTTATGTTGAATGATTATGTTTGAGATATATGCTTGCAATCTGTCATATTAGACAATTTAATTCACTGGTAAAATCAGACATTTGCCATTATCAGATTTTATTAAAGAATATATAGGCTAGAGTAGTTATACTGACATTGTAAACATTTATTTTCATGCACAACTGTTAGTTCGCTATGAAAGAAAAAACATATCAAATGCTTGTCGTAATCATAACTCTAAAATGCGATATGATCATTAAATGAAGTGCACACTTTCTGTTTCATTTTGATTGCGAAGTGCTTGTTCATACTTTGCGCGCGGCTCCCAAACGATCACTCTGTGCCACAAACTGAATATTATTAAGAACTGTATTACCTGTTACTCGCAACATACGCAGGTTCTGTTGACTAAAGTAGACGCACGCACGTCTATCACTAAGTAGAGCGCGCGTGCCCGCCCTCTCTGTGATAACAGCTTACGGTCAGCAGCTCACGTCACGTGTGATTTCCTGATCGCAAAAATATTATATTAAAACAAAAATTATATTTTTAGGTGAATAATACCTTATAAATACAGTATGTGACTCATTCAACATCATTTAGAGGTGTCAATGTCACTAAACAACGTTTGTGAAACGAGGAAAAGACTCGTGCAGCCTTTTCTTCTCTCCTGAACTTGAAAATATGATTGGCAGAATCGTAGAAATGCTGGATTAAGATCGTCTAGGGGGTTGAATCGAGATCGCGATCTATTAACGATTAATTGCGCAGCTATAGTATCGGTTGTCGTGAACTGCCACATTACACATGAAGAAACGATTAAATCTTGTGTCACGGCATCCATTTGATTGAGTTAAAGTTGGTTTTATATGCGCACATTCATTCAGTGACAATTTGTGACATGCTCCCTATATTGTTTACCATGATACTTTGAATATTCAGTCTGAAATCACGTTAGTGTGACTTTAACATAACATTAGCACTATTTATTTGTCTGTGAACACTGTTGTACTTTGATGGTCAATGGCTGCTAAAATGATTTCACTGTTTAGAGTTTGCGAAGAATACTTTTCTGAAGTTATATTATAAAGGAGAAAGTCTCATGTGTAAATATAAAACCAACTTTACCTCAATGTCCATTTGTCGTTTACGACTTTCCACGACACCCTATGTCAGGAAAATTGTGCTGAAATTGTGTGATCTGATTGGGGCTTTATAACTAGCCAACTGAATGAGCACACTTTGTTCCGCCCAATCAGAATTGCGCAACTGAATTATGCCCACAATAAGTGCTGACAAGTGGGATTATGCCATCTACTGCCTCAGCAGCAGTACTAGACGAGTTAATATCAAAGAAAAACAGCATTTGTAATATGGGAATATTTTGTTTTCAAAGTCACAGACACCAAACAAAAACAGGTCATTTTTAAGAGCTGTCACAGAATTGTTGACACGGTTTAAAGATTATTAAGCTGAAGCTTTAATTCAACTAAAATCAGCTTGAAGCTTAAATTGAGTCATAAATTAAATAGCAATATCTGTCCAAAAAATTGCAATTATAGCAAGGCTATTTTAAATGTATTGTATTTAGTCTTCCATAAATACTGTTACAGCCGTGTTACATGTAAAATAAAAAATGATAATATGGTATTATACTTATTTGAAAGGGTAGTACTATACTTTGATGCGAACCATTGAAATGAACAAAAAAAAAAAAGAGTTTCAAATTTTTTGCTTACATTGTTTGAAATGGGCTCATGATTGACCGTTGTTCAAAACTGATTTAGTCTAAAGTGCAGTCTAGATTATATCTAAAATTATCACAACAATAGTAATTAAATTTATTTTATGGGCCAGGTATTTGTTTGTTGCGCACATAGGTTGTTTTTTCCAAATTGACTTATTAAATGGGGCCTTACTTTCTTTATGCCCACCTCTTAAGAATCAGAATATCTGTTGAGGTTTTCAGTCATTTATATTGTTCAAGTCTAAATATTTGGACATTGACTTTTTTTAGCCAGAGTTAGATTTAATTAGATCAGAAAAAAAATATATTTTACGTTTTTGATTTAGTATGACCATTACTCAAATAAATGATTAGAAATAGCTAAATGTTATATATACAGAAATATCACTATTGCAATACTCATTAACAATATTGCACATTTCTTCAGTATTTTGTGGCCCTACTCTTAAGATCAGGCTTCACATAAGAATAACACACTGTAATATAGTGAACCAGTTGACAAAATGTATAAATTGCTTACAGCATCATTTCATTACAATATTTAACACTTGTAAACATGTGGGCTGCAAATGCAGTACTCTGCTGAATCAACTAGTTGCATCCTTCAAAAAAAGTGACAGTAATGTAAGCAGAATGAATTATTAATGAGAATTTATTAGTGCATCTAAGACGGGGTTATGGAAACCTGCCCTTTATTTTCAGGGTCAAATCAGGTGACCTGCGGGGTAGGTTGGCCTGAAGGGGCCCTTTCATGTGACAAGTGTGAGCTTAGAGGCCTTAAATCAGGTGTTAGGCACGTTTGTGCTGATACTCATGCATGTGGAATTATTTTGAAGCCAGTTTTTGTCATGTTTGCATATGTTATTGGTAGTTAAGTCATAAATGGAGCTCATTGTCTCAAATGCATGATTTGAAATTATTGACAATACAGTAATTATATATAGCCCCACATTAAATGTTAGTTCCTCCCAAGTTTAAATGACCACTCATCCACACTTACATGTTATTCCAAAGCCAAAAGACTTAAATTCATCTTCTGAAAACAAATGAAGATATTTATAATCAAGTTTTAGTGTATTCTGATGCTCCAATACATTTTTATTCACTTAAAATTCTGAGGCTGCTCAATATTGAGAAAAAAATACTTGGTCCTTTATTATTAATATTTTTTTAAATATATCTTGTGATATACAAGCTGTTTTACAAAATTATTTTAATAGCGCTATTTAGAAAGGATTCGAGGATTATATCTGCATAAAATAAACAAATTATAAACAGAAGAACAAAATATGCAAATTAATATACTGTGTTTTATGATTATCTGAGGCAATCAGTTTGCAGAACTTGAATGCTCAAATGGAAAATCGCAGCTTCTGAGAAAATTAAATACAATTAATTTTTGATAAATTATATATTTTTTTGCATCTGAATGCTATAAACTGTTAAATAAGGATGGATTATTTTGTTATTTTATTATCTGTTAATAGTTTAAAATATCAATGTTGTGGGTGAATTCATTTGTGTTTCAAAGACGAATACATATTTATGGGCTTGGATAGACATTAGGATGAGTTAATGATGACAGAATTTTCATTTTGTGGTCAGCTAACCTTGTAAGTACAGCTGGTTTCACTAATGCTATTTTTCTACAGTTCCCCTTCTCATTTTCTCTCCATGTTTTTGCTGTACTAAGCACTTTTTTGAAAGATTGAGTTGAATCTTAGTAGGTAATCAGTCCTCACAGGATCATAGCTGCTGCTATATTCAGAGTCATTCACATGCTAATGTAGGTCAAGCTCAGCGCTTTGTTCTGAAACTCGACTGGGTTTGCGGTATGCAGCCCGTCTGGCCTGACGTTCTGCCTACAGTCAGTGTGGCTAGAGGTTAACAGCGAGTCTAGACGTCTCCATAGTTTTGTTTGAGTGTTCGTAGCTGTGCTCAGATACAATAAGAGCTAGGGCTGCACAATATATCGTTTTCACATCAATATCGCAATGTGCACATCTGCAATAGAAACATCGTAAGATTTGCAATGTCAAGTTGGGATTATAGTTGACCAAGAACTAGGGCTACACAATATATCATTTCAGCATTGATATCGCAATAGTCACATTACAAGATATGTAATGTTGAGACTGAATTACATTTGACCAGGAGCTACAGAATTGTATTTGATTACTTTATACATACAGAATTTATGCAAATAAAATATTTTATATTATTTTTTATGTCCAAATAGCTGCATTTTAAAGCAAAAATAATATTTTACTTACCCCACTGACAGATAATTTGACTAATTTAAAGGAAAACTTATTTCTTCTAAAGTTCAGTGAAGTACAAAAACTTTTTTTACTTGATCTAAGAATTGTTTGATACTTGGATTATTAATGAGACAAAGCAAAGTAATAAAAGCTTTTTTTTGCTATTGTAATTATTCAGTTTCTGCACCTGAATACTCTTATGACTCCCCAAAAACATTTATTGCTATCTTGTGAAACTGTATTCACATCGCAATATATATTGCTAAAAAATAAAGTATTGTCACATACGATTTTTCCAATATCGCGCAGCCCTATCAAGAACTACAGTTCAGAACATTGTGGCATCGTTGCAATGTTTTAACCTTAATAGATCGAAAGTGTTTAATTTTGCTTGTGTTTTTAAGGCTTGTGGCTAAACAATTTAAAGCAAATTCAAACCATTTGACTTTAAGAAATTATAATAGTTATAATGTTTGAAGTTTTAACACAGATTAATTGTATTAGTTTTTATACAACAAAGACTATACGGTGTTATTTACATTTTATAATCACATTTCTGTACCTGAATACAGTTAGACTCCAAACCATAAAGCATTCTTTCATTTATTTCTCGTTTTTTCTTCTTTCTTTTATTTATCTATGCCTTTTATTTGTTTATTATATTGTATGCACATGCACTGCTTTACGAAATCATTTCAGTCTAAAATGATTATTTATTTTTCTTTTCCAAGTTTCTTTTTATGTTTATTTCAAAATTATATTCATATGGCAATATATATCATGCAAAAACAAATCTTTGCAATGTAATTTTTTTCTTATATTGTGCAGCCCTAATAAGAGCACTTTCATAAGTCCAGCATACAGTAGTCAACACTTTCCAGTGGATCAAATTATTATTAGTTGTAGTATTTTCAAAATTCTAAATCAAGCTTGGATGTTGTTTAATAGTTTAAGGACAACTTTGATAAAAGGTTCTGATTCACTTCAAATGTTTACTACTCTAGCTTATAGTTAATGGTGTTGATTTGATTTTAAGCAAAATTAGGAACAACAAAAATTATCATTGCAATTGTTTTTACGGTCTCGGAAGATTTTTGTCTATATATATTGCATCACCAAAAGTGATTGAGGTCAGGTCCATTTGTTGTGTAATATATACAAGCCCCAATTGCATTATTTAATATATTTTGTCATTTGGTTTACTCTTTTAGATTTATATATGTTGTGAGCTGATTTTACAATGTACTTGCTGCCACTGTTTGGTGGTTTCATATTTTTAAATAATAATTATTAAAATCAATGAATAACATTTTTAAAAAAAATTGGTTATAGTGTGAAGTTCAGAGTTACCATCAGATCTAGTTATAGAATATGTTAATAATGAATAAGTGTTCACTGTTGCAGTTAACTCTGTGCTGTTTTTATGCATCTCACAAGCAATATATCCTTTTTTTTTGTTTACCGTTTTCATTGGGTTTTTTTATTAAGCAAATTTAAATAATTTAAGTACTGCTCTTACTGTTAAACAGCCACAATTTTGTTATCTGAGTCAAATTTGGGAAATCCTAAAAGATTCCATAAATCCTTGGCTAAAATCTGTAATATTTGGTGTTGGTTTGACATGTTCACAGACAACTGCTCCAATGAAGGTTTGGCAGTGTCAGAAGTTTTCACACACTTCCCTGCAGTGTGGCAAAAGCTGCGATGAGCATCAATCCTAGAACCAATAAGAGCGTAGAATCTGATGATGCAATCGATGCAACAATTCAATGGCTGCGGGGAAATGTCAAAACAGTTTTTTCTTTGTTTTATCATTGAGACATGCTGTGTGCAAATTTCTGCTAAAGATCGTTTATGTTTGCTGTGAGGAATCATTTCAGAATGCAGGATAGTAAAAGTGTCACAGATGGATGACGTCAAACTTTAAAGTAGTTTTCTTTCGTGTTTGGCGCCTCTTCATTGTCGTTCAGTCTGAAATTATGACAGCTGAGATCTTATAGTGTGACGTGAGCTATGTTCATGCAGTCTGACATGCTTCAATCGTTCAGGATTAGGGCTTCGCGATTTGTGGAAAATTTCTGATTGCGTTTTTATTTTTTTGACATTGTGATTTCGATTTGATTTGCGATTTAATTTTGTAGTCAAGCTTCAGTTCAATCTGTTTCATAGCTTCTTACTGCTAAATGCTAAAAAAGGAACTGAAAAGATATTAACTTAAACATTTATTCAAATTTGTAAATATTCAGATATGAAACATTAATTTTCTCTAGAGCCACAAATAAAATGACCTTACCTTTCTGTAACTCAAATTAGGGAGATAGTGTAGCTTAGTGTACAAACAAAAAATAATAATTATAATAATACAGATCAGTCTGCAAACTAATGTTGCTGAAACAACTCTGAAATTGTACTTTGCTGTTACTTGCTACTAGATTGAATGCCGGTGGCAATAATTTCAGTTGACTTTTTAGCAAGACACTCCTGATATAGCCATCTGTGGTGCTTTTTTAGGTTGTTTAAGCTGGTTGTTTTATTTCCTCATGCTGTGGCAACAATTCTTACAAATCACCTGTTTTTGTTCAGTGTCTGTGACTTTGGAACCAAAATATTCCCATATTATCGGTGTCTTGTTTTTCTCTTATATCAATTAGTCTTTAAATGCTTCTGAAGCAGATGCCATCATCCCACTTGTCCGCACTTTCCTGTTTGTTTATTTTTATTGTGGGCGTTCCGCATAGTTCAGTTGTGCAATTCTAAATGGGCAGAATGAAAGTGTGCTCACTCAATTGGCTAGCAAGATATCACACACAGACTGCAGTCACTTATTTGCTTTGGGCGAGGGAAATAAAATAAAAATATATATCATATCACAGCCACTTGCGATTAGCTAATCGCAACGCTGAAAATTGCGATTACGAGTTGATTTCGATTAAATGCAAAGCCCTATTTAGAATTATAAAAAAAAATCGAACAATGTGAGCTGGCCTTATCTGTTGCAGATCAAAGTGACTTAGATTCTGGAGTCTCTTACACTATTTTAAAAGGAACAGTTTCATCAAGATTACTTGTGCAGTACACATTGTTTCCGCTTCAATAATTCTGCCATGGTGGGGCACCACACAAAAATTACTCCCGCCACGGTTAGATTACAGCTTCTCATTCAAAACATTCAGTCATTGTTGTTGTTGTTATTTTAATGGCGGGTTATAATCTCACCAAAACACATTAAAAGGTAAGTGAATTATAACAGCTCAAGCTTTTCTGTAACTGTAGTAGTGCTATTTGTTTAACCCTTTAAGGTGACGTACTGACTGACTGTAAAAAAAAATCCTAGAAGAAACACTGATACGTATTTAAGTAATATTAATTTCTTTTTGTGATTTTAAATTGGTTTATATTTTATATATACCTATATTTTTATACATTTATGAAAAGCTTATGTTTTTTTATAGTGTTTTCTGAAGTTTTTTGAAATGTAATTTTGTTCTTCATTACATTTACTGTGATGTTTTGAATGACACAGTAAAGGAAACTGGAACTGAGCTAATTTTAACACATTATTAAATGGTTTTCTGATATCATAATTACTGCTGTAATCGTTTTTGTGGTTCTATTAATTTGACCAATTGAAAGCACCAGTAACGAGTTGTCTTGAGCATTGATTTATTTTTATTTATTTATTATTTTTTAATAACACTAGAAATCTGCTTGTGTGTAGTGGAATCGGACAGCCGTGACCTGGCCAGCTGTTTTGCAGTCAAGCGTTTAACATCGAATGTTTGGTTCGCCGAAACAGATGTGTGTCAGCGTTTTGGAAATCTGAAAGTAAATAACCTATGTGGTTGCATTAGAGATTCATGAACCCGAACAAGGAGTCTGAGAGCAGCTTTTTAACCAGGAGCAAATGTGTCCGCTCACTGAAAATGAAGCCTTGTGTTACTTGAGCTGAAATGACTTGTGGTGATTTGTTGCAGCTGTGTCGAACAGCGGTGGTCGGGAGGAACGTGTGGCTCGATCCTGAGTGGCAAAAACGTGTCGACAAGCCAGTTGTCATCCGAATTCAGCTGTCCGCTCCTTGCCAGAGATATGTCCATTATCACAAGCTGTATTTTCTCTCTCTTCATTTTCAGAACATCGAAGGAATACTGTCTCAGGCCCCCTCCCCCATCTGCAGCTTTGAGGTACTCGGATCATTTCTTTCTGATGAAAAATGCCCACTGTTAATAGATCAAGATCAGTGAATAATTTGTATACAGTAGGTTTTAGACAATTATACAATATTATAAAGAAACATTAATGTGTTTTCATTATTTTTAGCAACTTATTTTTATATAAAATAATGAACCATTCAAACATTTGTGTGTGGGAAATAGATTTCTTATTAAGACTTTGGATGTGACATTTATAATATTGCAATTACTTCCGTTTCAAACAATTAGATTCTGTTTCTGCTCTTTTAAAAATAATTTTATAATGATTTTGATCATATGAAATGCTTAAGCCCAAAAATAATATTTTAGGATGACCTGAATTTTATAATTATAGAAAAAATGACTGCTGAGATTTCAGTTTCTCCATCACTCAAATTTCTCGGATAAAATTTTATTGCATTTTAAATTACATTTGAGCTAATAACATGTAACAGGATTCTTATGTTTTTGATCATACAAATGCCATTGGCGCAGAGTAAGAAACTTTTTCACCCTCAAATAATCATCTTTATTTTAGCAAACTTTTAAATAGTATAGTATTAAAGTAAATGGCTAACAAAAAAGAATTGAAGTTGAAATTAGTATTACATTTGCATTGCTTCTCATTTAATCAGGTAGAAAATAGCTAATTATTATATTTAGTCAATCAAAATATTAACGTCTTTTTAAAGTTAAATGGCAAAATTATTGGTCGTTTTATGTCATGCTTTTTTATGTTCAAGATTATAAAAAATGAATATACATTGCTGTTATAAAAGCACCAATTTTCATTTGATATTTCATTTGAATCCAATGGGCTATATGCACACAGACTTTTACTTTCAGCCAGCCAGCCTCAGCGCTTCCAGTAAACTCTTTTTCCATTGTAAAATTGGCAAATTTAAGGTCAGATTTCTTTAAAAATCATTGATCTTTACTGCCTGAAAGATATACGATATAAAGTAGGTCTCTGACTGGACAAGAAGCACTGTATTAAATTCAATTTCCCCTGCCATGTCTTTAAAATTTGACAGTTTATTTTACCCCTGTATTTTCAGTGGAGTTTCTACTCTAGCCTGCTGATCCTGACGGTCTTTCATCTCCTTTTCTGCTTGAACAACTAAATCAATGCTTAAGTCTATTTAACGGAATGTTTTGAAATTACATTACAACATCGATGCTGGAAAATAAACCTTATGAAATTGAAAACAGTCACCCTAAGCTTTCATTGGAAGTTTATCATTGGCTAAAAAACACTAACTGCGCACATACCCCATTACTTTTATTGTCACATAACCAGCAGCATGTGTGCAATGATGAGTGAAAGCTTAGGTGCAGGCTCCAGACAGTTGAAAATACATTGACATACATTTAAGTACACAAAATAAATTTAAGACGCTACACAGAAAACAAATATACATAATACAGTGCAATGTACATTTCTATACATTCTCTAGAAAAGTAAACAATAAAGATGTAAAAAATAAACTTGTTACACAATACATTTGTCTCTGACAATTTATCTTTTTTTAGTTTAGTTTTTATATAAATTATATATAATTTAGTTTAGTTTAAAAAAATTTTTTTGTTATTTTTAATAAATTGTTTTATTTCACAGCACTACATTGTAGTAAAAAAATTTAATGGTCACACTTTAAAATAAGGTTGCATTATTGCTAGTTTGTAATATTTACTAACATGAACTAAGTTTAACAGGGTATCCGCGGAGTCTTAAAATGTCTTAAATCTCAAATGCTAAATTTTAGACCTTAAAGTCTTAAATTCACTGGAATATTGTGTTGTAGGTCTTAAATTTTTTTAACAGGTCTTAATTTTCCTTTATGTATAACTACCCAATCTGACTATTAACAGCAATATAATCATCAAGAGTTCATCTTAATAAAACTTTTAAGTTTTTATTTAAAAATATCATTGAATTACATTCCTTATAGTAACATTTGTTTCATAGTTCTCTATTTATTTACTGCTGAGGACACTGACCTGACCTGTATTTGTATTATTAAATGATTATTATTTTAGACTGAAGTAATTATGTATTGTTCCTTTCTTGGTAAGGGTTATTGGGTTTGCGAATGGATATATTAGATTTTTTTTTAAACATTCAAACAAAATTATTATTATTGTATTATTAAATGTAGTAAATTATTTTTGATAGGGCTAGTGAAAATCTTTTCTAACTGGAATATTGAAAATTACTCCTTCGCATTTTGCCCTGTATACAGGACCATTTAAGACCATTATGAAGGACATTTTAGACTTATACATAAGTCTAAAATGTCCTTCATAATAGTCTTAATGTTTTTAAAAGTCTTAAATTTAACTTGGTGAAACCTGCAGAACGCCTGATTAAACAATACTTTTATAGCATTTATCAATTGTAGTTGAACATTTATTAATGTATTATTACAATCCAAATCTGTGCTTGTTAATATCCGTTAATGCAATGCGAGTTAGCATAAACTTCTTGATTCTCATTTATATTAACCTCATTAATATTAACAAAGATGCACTCAAAAACTCACTTTTGCAGCTTATTTGTTCAAACTACTTATTTAAAATGACTTGAAACAACACAATTCTAAAGTTTTTTTGGAACAACTTAATTGTTTTATGTTAAATCCACCTACATTTGTAAAACTGATTAAGTTAACTTAATTTGTGTTAAAACAACATAAAGAAATTGTGTGGGATCCAGTGTTTTCTACAGTGCGAATGAATACTGTAATGTATTTTTCATTGTTTGTTCTTGTTAGTAAATACATTACCTAATACAACCTTATAGTAAAGTGTTACCAACATATTAGTCTTATACCTGTGTTCTATATAAAGTGTTTCTTTTTGCCTTCCCATTGATGCAGGTTCTAAATGTGTCTGTTTTTTCCTAGCAGAGTAACTCAAGGGGAGAAAAGAATGAGCTGATTTTAAGAGCTCAGATAATGATGCCCAGAATAAGTGCGGCCTGGTCACAGAGCAAAGTGGGGAACGCACACGCTGTGAGTAAACATTCTCATCTAAAATCAGTAACCCGCCTGATCCTGATGGCCCCTAACCAGCACCGAATATCACATCACTCAATATACCACAGGACACAATAGCATTGTGACACGCTTGCTGATTTCACTCACATCCGACTGATCTGATGTTACGTGGTCTGTCTCCGGCAGTGAGCATTAGATGGCCATGATGCAATGAGATAAACACTGGATGACTGGAGGTCTCCTGCTTATCAGTCTCTAAGCATGGCTGGCCTACAGCTGGTGACCCCTGCCTCCTCACCCATGGGGCCCTTCTTTGGTCTCCCGTGGCAACAGGAAGCTATCCATGACAACATATACACACCAAGGAAATATCAGGCAAGTCATTTGAAATGGTTTGGGAGATTAACTTTGCAGGCACATTAAAAAATCCATGCTTGTGACAAAAATTGCATTACTATACAGTATGTTGCTTTTGAATCTTTAACGGCAGTTTCTACGTGAAAATGATTCTAAAAGTGTTCATTTGTTTTTTTACGTAACAGACATCAAATCAGTGGCACCCCCAGAAAATTTTCTTAGGGGTGGCCAGATGAGGCACAAAAATAAATAAATTAATAAATTCACACAAAAAAATAATAAATTCACTCAAAAAAATAATAAATTCAGTGTAATTATATATTTTAGTTTTTGGTAAATGAAAAATATGGTTTTAATTAATTTCTCTTAAAATATTGTGATTTATTCCTTGAAATAAATCAGCAAGTACATGTGCAAACCAAATAAAAATCAATCATTAATTTAAAAACACTTTTATTGTACAAAATGCATGTCATGTCTAAAATTAATGAAGATTAATAAATTAATTTATAAAACAAATGAACAATCTGAACAAAAGGCATTACTATATGCACACCCAATCACTAATAATATCATGTATCCATATTTCTTTTTGAGCCAAAATATTATTAATACAGTGTTTTTTTTGTTTTGTTTTTTTATTTATTTACCTTTTTGCAAAATACATCCACAAAATCACTGAGATTTCTGGCAAGCAAAACAATGGAGGTGCTAAATAAGCTAGAATTTGTGATTAAAAAAAGTACAATCTCATGAACCCAAAGTTGTGCATAAACCCCACAAACATTACTAAACAACATATGTTATAAGAACTTTACCCTTAATTTTATTAGTATTTTGAAATGTGTAGTAACCTAATCAGCAAAAGCGAACATTCTGTAGAAACGCGAAAACATTAAACTATGGCAAAATCATCAAAATGACCTAATCCTGAGCCTTGCTAAGTAACGTTAACACATTTAGTATTTAACTGGAAAGGTTAACAGAGAGCATAGAATAATTACTTAAGTGGAGATATGTATGTATGACAAACATACCCATTGTTTTTTCCTAAATAATTGCCATAGCTGTCTGTTGAAGGAGTGTGCGTGCTGTCAACAACGATAGGGGAGGGGGCAGTAAATCAGCTACGGCAGTTGCGCCAATCAATCCACAATAATTTAGTGGCGACAATTTATTAATTTTTTTATTGAAGTATTGTGAAATTCTGTAAGTACATTTAAATTAATAATATCAACAGCTTAATTATATTGGGGTGGCCAGAGTTTACACGGGTGGCTCTGGCCACCATTTGGAGGCGCCACTGAATGAAAGAGCTCACGAGAGATTAAAGGCTCTAAAAAGTGCTACCAGATGAGCTACCAAGCAAGTTTACGTCATTAATATGGACATGATATATTGAGCAGAAAGTAAAATGCAGAAGTTTACAGATCAGACAGAAACTTATTTTATTCAGTTCACTATTTTAAAGAGTTTTTTTTTAACCTTGTTAATCCTCTAATTGGCTTATAAGGATGCAAAACAGCCCAATTTCCCTGAGAGTGACATAATGTTTAATTGCTCCCCACAATCTCAAACCTACAATTAATTTGTATGTAAAGGAAACATCGTAAATGGAATAGGACAGCTGCTGAAATAATAAACTACATGAAATCAACTTGAAAATACATGAAAGACACTTTTCAAATAAAACCTTTGAGACCAGGCACGAAAAGTGCCTTTATACTAGATGCCAAATTGGTCAGGGCTATTCAATTGGTGGCCAATACATTAAAAATAAATTTAGTTTAGTTGTAAAAGGGTCAATATAGTTATGAAGTGACGTGCGTCTGTTTAATACAGCATGAGCTGCAGTTGATGGCTGCGCAGAGAGTGAGCCTAGTGACATTAAGCAAGTGGTGCGGGCAGCTGAAAACATTTGGATATGTTTGTAGAAAACGCCTTTTGTACAATGCACTGATACCGTTAATAGGGATGCAATGATTAGCCGATTTCACTATTAATCGCACTTCAATTCATTAGGCTTAATTAATCCTAAAGGCTTCTGAGTGCTGCGTTTCTACTGCACAGAGCAAAACTGCTGCAATGAATCAGTAATGCCAACTGTGTGCTAGTTTAAAGTTACGAGCTTGTACCTAGGCTAATATGCATGCAAATTACATAAAGAACAGGAAAATGTAAGGTTACTTTCAAGCTATCAAATAAGGAGAATGAGCACTTGCAAGCCACACAAAAAATAAGTACCTCAGACTTCTTTCAAACTCTGAGGTGAATTATCCATTGTTGTTTTCATAGTGGCTATTAAAGTCCTGCAAAATAGTATTCAAGCTAAAACTGTTTTGATATTAACGTTTTTCCAATCATTAGATTAATCCATAAAAGGGAAAAATGCGCAGTTAGTCTTAGTGGGAAAGCTGTTAAAACTATGGTATATAATGGTATTGAAAGTGGTACATTGCATTTTACTGAAAATGTTCAACCAATTGCACTTTCCCAACAGGTTGAACTTCTTGAAGCAGCTCTTGAACATAATACTATAGTCTGCTTAAATACTGGCTCAGGGAAGACCTTTATCGCAGTGCTCCTAATCAAAGAACTCTCCCACCAAATTCGTGGCGAGAATGGGAAGAGGACAGTTTTCCTGGTGAATGCAGGTGAGGAAAAATCTAGTCGGCCATGTACACAATTTAAGCATTTTTAATCTCTTCTGAATACAGAAGTCAAGCTCAAACCCTGTTTTGTTCTGTTTTTAATCAAAGCGTCATCTGTGGCTCAGCAAGCATCTACTGTAAGAACACACTCTGATCTCCAAGTAGGCGACTATATGTCAGAGGACATGACATCATGGCCCGAGGAGATGTGGAACAGAGAGATGATAGAGAATCAGGTGTGATTTTTAACATGCCTGCGAATTCATATAATTGTCTTGATGAGGTGTCATCATGCAATATATCTATTGTGAAAAATTTCAGCTCCTTCATACATCTCTTTTCCTTAATTTCAGGTGCTGGTGATGACGTGCCACATCTTCCTGCATGTTTTAAAGAATGGAGTCTTGCCACTATCAAAGATCAACCTGCTGGTTTTTGACGAATGCCACCTTGCAATCACTGGCCATCCTTATCGGGAAATAATGAAGGTGAAATTGCACTGCATTGAACGCATGCTGTCAGTGTTAAGAGAGGGATGATGGAGGTCTCATTTAACTGTCACTCTACAGAAATGCTAAACTGATGTCAATTCATTATTATTATTAATGTGAATGTGTTTAGTCCTTGAGATTGAACATATGCACTCTTATAAGCTTTCTTAACTGAATGTTGAGAGATAAGAACCCACCTCCTGAATTAAGAATTAAAATGATAGTTCACACACAATTCATTATTAGATATGAGTCTTATTTTAGTCTTTTTGTGCAATGCAAAAAATGCAAGCATCGTTCAACTGGCATCAGAGTTGTGATGTTAGAATAATTAGTTGTAATTTTAGCTGTGATAAACTGTATTTAGTAACATATTGAATACTGAAGTATTTGTTCTCTCAAAAATGCTTTTCCAAACCCCTGAGAGCTTTGTTTATCCTTGGAACACATATATTTGAGCTATTTTTCTTGAAATCTGAGAACTAGGTTTTAGGCCCGTTCAAAGTTCAGAAAAATTCCAAAAGCATTCTCAAAACAGACCATATGCCTTTAAGTAATTTATTTAGTATATTATCAAACTATATACATTTTTGTGTACATGAAACAAAATGACGACTTATCAGTATCTTCTATACAGACGTATTACAGGATGAGCCTGTGCTTTGTTTCAAAAAAAGAAAGTTGTGTACAGGCATCTGGGATGGTACTGTTCATGTCACTGCGCAGTGTCCCTAAACTGACACTGAGGGGAACAAACTGTTGAATTCATTATTTTTGTTTTATGTGTATACAAAAGTATTCTAGTAGCTTGATAAATTTCTGGTTGAACCACTGAATGCATGTTCTGTTTTGAGGATTGTTTTTGGTATCTTTCTGGACTTTTGTGTGTAGCCTTGCTTTTTATTGAGGATGAGGGAACTCTACGATTTCATTTGAAATATCTTTGAGTTCTTAAGATGAATGAAGGCTTTTGGGACTTGGAATGACACTAGGGTTAGTAATTATTAAAGAGCCCCTATTATGCATTTAAAAAAAAAGTCATATTTTGTTTTTGGGGGTCTCCAACAACAGTCTGATTTGCATGCAAGGTCAAAAAACACATTGTCTTATAATATGCATTCATTTTTATCTAACTATCCCAACGACTCCTATATGATTCGTTCAGCAATTCATGTGTTCCCAAACCCTTAGCGCGATACTAATTTGAGCTGATTGGTCCGATGACCCAGTCTTTTGTTATTGGTGGACTGGGTTCAGCGAGAGACTGAGAGAAATGCGCACTACGGCTTAACAACAAGTAGTCAGAGTGCAGAGTGTATGTGTGAGCCCAATGTAGGAGTGCATTAAAGCAATGCAGTTTAACACCAGCATATTGCTCTATTCTCAACCACAAGTAAAACAGTGACATGCATTCAGTATTACTCCACACAGTGGCAAAAGCTGAACTATTTTGAAATTTGACTGACGCACATGTTTAGGAACAGCTGGTGGTGGCCATAGCAATGACAAACGCCAGTGGATTGCAAGCTTGCAAACTCATTTAAATCCGTAAACAAAGCAGCACACGTTGCATTTGCAACCTGGCTTTAGACGCGATATGAGAATATAAAGTTAACTAGATACAGTACAAGCGGTTACAAGTAACAAAACACAAATACATAATTTGCAAGCTAGAGAAAACAAGGAGGAAACCATTTTAATCACACTTATTTACACTTGTCAAATGAAGGAGGAAACCGATCCATGAAAAATGTCAAGCTCTGACAAAGTCCCATACATCAAAAGTGTTTTGTGATCCTTCCTTTAAAGAGCCCATATTATGGGTTTTTGAAAATTCCCCTCCATGTAGTGTGTAACACAGCTCTAAGTGAAGTGAAGTATCCAGCTAAGGCTTAAATCTGTAAGAATACAGTGTTTAAAACGGTTGATTCATCTATAAAAGAGTCGACTCATAGTGCTTCAAACGAGTCGCCTTGATACCGACTCATTAGGTGTTTCGCCATGACGTACGAACGAAACCAAGTTATTCACGTGCACGCGCAAACCCGGGAGATTTCAAACCTGAGGCCCCGCCCTCTGACGCAGAAACCCAGACACACACACACACCCACAAACACACGCACACAAACATGCCGGTCGATTGAAGTAACACTGCAGATGGACATTATATTGAGTCTCTACCCAAAGATGAAACATCAGCATTATAACCAAGCAGTTGGAAACTTCTGGAAGCTACATGCTACAAAGAATACTTCATCTGAGTTTGTTAAAGGAAGGATCAGTAAAGAGTAACTGATGGACGTCAGGATGGGTTTCTTCCATTTCTCAAGTGTAAGTACGTGCGGTTAAAGTTGTTGCCTCGTTTACTCTAGCTTGCAAATGTATTTAGTTGTGATTTGTTACTTGTAACCGCGTGTACTGTATCAGGTTAACTGGATATATTATCTTATCGCGTGCAAAGTCACGTTAAAAACGCGACGCGTGCTGTTTGTTTATGGAGCTCCGAGCTAGAGTTCTGCTCCCGCGATTTATTCGGAAATTTATTCCCGCGCCGCAGAAATCTGGCGCGGGGACAGCCGCGGGAATAAATTTCCGAATAAATCGCGGGAGCGGTCGGTAACGGGTTTAATTTGGGACGGGAGCGGGCTGTCTAGCAATATCACGGATATTGCTATGCGAATTAGAAAGAGAGAGTCTGCGTGGTGCTTGTGTGTGTGTTAGTGCGCACGCGCGCGTATGAGAGAGAGCGAGCGAGAGAGAGAGAGAGAGTCTGTACGCAGCGACGCTGCACGACGCTGCACTGCTTTGGCAATACGAATGTACAGCTATTTGTCATGCCAATAAAGCACCTAAAATGTGAAATGTGAGAGAGAGAGAGAGAGCGAACGAACGAAAGAACGAGCTTTGTGTGCTTTGTGCTGTGTGTATACAGACAGCTTGGCTGTCTGGACTGTATACTGGGTGATTTTTGGTTGTGTTCTCCGCTCTAGCGGGACCGGGCGTGGCGGGCTGAAAACGGAGCGGGTTCTCAGGCTAAAACCTGGCGGGTGCGGGCGGAAGCGGGAGCGTTGTCATCCGGAGGTGTGTGTGTGTTTTTGTGTGTGTGTGGTATGGCGAGTACACGACTGTCTCCTTCGTTCGGTTATCCGTGGCACTATCCACTCGCCATAGTGTGGCAGCTAAAATCCACGTCTACACTATCGAGCGTGTATGAACTGTGATTACTTTTTAAATTGCTGATTAGCTATTGGCCATTTCCCTCTCTGACTGAAGGCAGTCGACCAATCGCGACAGACTGTCATCGGTCCAATCAGCGCAGATTAGCTTCGCACTGAGGAGGGGTTTGGGAACAAATGAATCACTGGACGATTCATACAGGAGTCGCTGGGATAATTAGCTAAAAATAAATGCAGATTATAAGACCATGAAAGTGTTTTTTGACCTTGCATGCATATTAGACTGTTGTTGGAGACCCTTACAACCAGGATATGACCCTATTTCATGTATAATATGGGCTCTTTAACAAACGGCCGCTGAATCTCCCGTTGAAAGCATGTAGAATGCCGAAGCACTAGTCAGAAAAATGACGGGAACACAGGACAAGGCTGGGGCTATAATGCTGAGGTAGTTTTGCAAAAATAAACTTCAACTACTGACTCTTTACAGCCTCATCTTTGGGTAGGAAAAAAACACAACTTTCTCTCACACGCTGACACGGCCAGTCTGAGTCGACTTCTTTATAGATGAATCAATAGTTTTAAACATGGTACACTTTCGGATTTAAGCCTTAGTTGGATATTTAACTTCACTTAGAGCTGTTTTACACACTGCATGGAAGCTCATTTTCAAAAACCTATAAGAGGGGCTCTTTAACAGAATAGTAGGGTGACCAGATTTTGCCAAGTAGAACTTGAGGTGGACAACACCCACCACCCCGCTACCAACCACTGATTCAAGCTTTCAATTGTATGATTGTGTCTGCTCCAATTCACTCTAGAAATAGAAAATTTGAAATGCTGGTTATAGCCAATAATATTTTTATCATTCACCTGTATTTTAAGGATTTTAAGGTGATTCTCTTTAGAAGATTTTCCTCTTTATAATGCTGTTATAAATGGATGGTTCATCAATTTTTAAAAAATCCTCTTACAAAAAAACAAGATATTGTAAAGAATGTAGGACATTGACATCCATATTGAGAACAAAACATATTATGAAAGTCAACAGCAATGTTTTTTCATCATTCTTTGTTAAGCAGAAGAAAGAAACTTCAAAAAACAAGTAGAGGATGAGTAAAAATAAATACATTTTGTTTTTGTGTCTGTGTGAACCGCCTTTAAATGGTGTTAATCATCTGTGCAGATTTGTGAAGGTTGCCCCAGCTGTCCTCGCATTTTGGGTCTCACTGCTTCCATTTTAAATGGCAAATGTGACCCTTGTGATTTGGAGGAGAAAATTCAGAACCTGGAGAAGATTCTTCAGAGCAATGCAGAAACTGCCACTGATCTTGTGGTGCTGGATAGGTGCGCTGCTTCTGCTTTCCTTAATAATGAATAGCTGTTTTTATTGCAGCTTGCAGAGCACAAAAGTTTCCTTGATTTATACAATAGGGTTATGAAAAATGTTGATTGGCACCTGCTATAAAGCATTGTCTTGTATGTTTGTTGTCCAGGTATGCGTCGCAGCCGCGTGAGGAGGTGCTGGATTGTGGACAGTACCAAGATCAGAGTGGGCTCTCGGAGAGGCTTTTAAATGAGCTGGACGAAGCCCTCAATTTTCTAAACGATTGCAACTTGTCTGTACATAGAGAAGATAGAGACCCCACGTTTATCTCCAAACAGGTTAGCTTTCATCTTTTTAAAGCGGCTAAACTCTTTGTGTCCAACTACAGTTGTTTTGAATGTGATTTTATTTTATTTTTTATTTTTTTCTAAGGTGCTGAATGACTGTCGTGCTGTGTTGACTGTGCTGGGCCCTTGGTGTGCGGATAAAGCTGCAGGAATCATGGTTCGGGAGCTGCAGAAATATATTAAACATGAACAGGAAGAGCTAAACCGCAAGTTCCTGTTGTTCACCGACACCATCCTGAGGAAAATCCATGCCTTATGTGAGGAGCATTTTTCCCCAGCTTCCCTCGACCTGAAGTTTGTCACTCCCAAGGTCATCAGACTTTTGGAGATTCTCCACGAGTACAAGCCTTTCGAACGGCAGCAGTTTGAGAGTGTGGAGTGGTACAACAATCGCAATCAGGACAATTATGTTTCTTGGAGTGATTCTGAAGATGATGATGAGGACGAAGAGGCGGAGGCAAAGGAGAAAACCGAAGCAAATTTTCCCTCGCCGTTCACAAATATCCTCTGTGGAATCATCTTTGTGGAAAGGCGATATACAGCGGTTGTTTTAAACAGGTTAGTCTTTTTCAGTACATCAGTTCTGTACATAATTGAAAAAATGGTAAACTGTACAATATATACTATACAAGGCATTTCTTAAAAAAAAAAAAGTTTTAGTATGTTTGTTGTAATGGTTCTGCAATGGAAACACCACTTGAATTCATTTTCTGAGAAAAATTTTCAACAAGGCTAAACTGGTAAATTTATTAAAATATAATTTTTATAAAAAAAAATCATTACTGTTTTGGAATATCTTAAAATGTAAGTGAATCCTGTTATTGCAAAGCTTATTTTTCAGCAGCCATAATTGCAGTCTTCTCATGTTCCTTGCTGATTTTCTTGTCTTACTAAGGTTACCATGATACTAGAATTTGCTACCAATTGGTAACGAAATTTTAATAATGTCAATTTCCAACAAACATTTAAGCTCTGTGGAGCACGTTCTTAAACAGTGCCGATTTGCCATTGTGTTTACGTGCTCAACAGAAAGACTGCGATTAGCCGTGAAGGTCATCGGTTCACAGAGCTCACCACTGTTTACTGCGTGTAACCACAGATAAAGGGACACTGGAGCATTTTAATGCCACGATTCATCAGCATATCGCTTTAATGTCAGCTTTTAGACAAACCAGCTGACTTGAAAAAGCTCCAGTGTCTCTATATCTGTGGTTACACACAGTAAACAGCAGTGAGTTCGGTGAACCAATGGCCTTCACGACCAATCACAGTCATTTCTGTTGAGCATGTGAACACAATGGCAAATCAGCGCTGTTTAAGAACGTGCTCCACAGCGAGCAACATTTCAGTACTGATTGGTTTTGAATTCCAGTATCATGACTACGTCTTTCTATTATAAGCATTGAACAGTTGGGCTGCTCAATATTTCTGTTATTTAAAATGTAAATATTTATATAAAAATCAAACCCCCTAGTTTTTTTCGCGATTGCGCAAATGCTGAATCCAATGCAAAATCAACAAAAAGTCGAAAATTTTTGCGATGCTGCAAAATTCTTAATTGAAACACAAAATAAATGCAAAAATTTTAATAATCTCGTAAAAAATACAATTCCAAACCATATAATCAAATTAGATTTATTTCAGTTTGCAATAAATTGTTTTACCATACTTATAGACGTTGCATACACAGCACACGTGATGTATTTGAGTGTCTCTCGAAAAATTATGTCTTACCTGCACCCTCACAATCCTTACATTATATAGAAGTGGTGAGGAATTTTTTTGCAGTTTGTGCAGTAAGTAAACAAGGATGAAGTGCGAGTGATTAACATGTGAAGTCATAGCAAAGATGCGATTAGATATCCTGTGGCGCAAATCGAGTGAATAACACCGCACAAATTGGGGGTTTTGTGCATTGATACACTAGACTGCAAAAAAAATGTATGGCTGGTATTATGATCGATAAAAATTGATAAATGATTTTGCTGAACTCTTTTCCTGCAATATAATGTTTTAAAAATATTATATATATGTTTTCTGTATTTTATAAATTTGTGTCCTTCCTGAAAATCAGTATTATTTTTTTCTTAACAGTATTAAACAATCTTGCTGACCTGGAACAGCAAAAGCTGTATTAAAAGCAACATTTTTATTATGATTGTATTTTTTGTTGGATTTCAGACTTATTAAGGAGGCAGGAAAGCAAGACCCAGAGCTGGCTTACATCAGTAGCAACTTCATCACAGGGCACAGCATCGGCAAGAACCAGCCTCGCAACAAGCAGATGGAGGTGGAGTTCAGAAAACAAGAGGAAGTGAGTAAATCTGGCAATCTTAGGCCTGGTTTCTACCTGAAATCTCATAAGATGTGTTTTCGTCAATCCATTAACAGGCTGATGACACTAAATACTGGAGTAAACGGGATCTAAAGTGTTAGAGCTTCCACTTACCTCACTTCCAGAGGTTGACAGCAATGCATTTTGTTGTGTAAATACTTGCGGTCAGAAGCTTCCAAAAAACCTCAAAAGACAACATATGTTCTTTAAAAAAAATTCAAATGTCTTGTCTGACACATCAGATCACTGAAAATACTTTTTATTACCAAAAAGGTCCATGTCCACTTTATTAGCTTGTATTTCTAACTCTTCTCTCTGATTCCCATTACTTACCAGGTCTTGAGGAAATTCAGAGCCCATGAAACCAACTTGCTCATTGCAACCAGCATTGTGGAGGAAGGCGTCGATATCCCAAAGTGCAATTTGGTCGTTCGGTTTGACCTGCCGACAGAGTACCGGTCGTACGTGCAATCCAAAGGTCGAGCCCGTGCTCCAGTCTCCAACTACATCATGCTAGCAGACAGCGAACGGACTAAAACCTTCCAAGAAGACCTCAAGACCTACAAGGCCATAGAGAAGGTCAGCAGGCGCAATGAGAACTATTTTCAGAAAGAGGATGTGCGTATTTTAAAATGTGTCATTATAAGAGTTGTACATCTTTCAGATCCTCCGAAATAAGTGCTCGAAGTCGGCTGAATGCAATGATTTTGAGCTGGAGCCTGTGACCGATGACGACAATGTTCTCCCACCGTACGTCCTGCGCTCAGAGGACGGCGGGCCTCGTGTCACCATGAACACTGCCATTGGGCACGTCAACCGGTCAGTGATTTTCCTTATTCAAAGACAGCAGTGTTGTCATGTCATATGGTTAAATGTATTTCTGTGTTGTGCAGATATTGTGCGCGCTTGCCCAGTGATCCGTTCACTCATCTCGCTCCGAAGTGTAAAACTGTAGAGATGAACACCGGAGGGTATCGATCCACACTCTTCCTACCTATCAACTCACCACTCAGAGTTCCTGTCACCGTGAGTTCTGCACAAAATTTTTATTTATTTATTGGACTAGAGACCGATAATGAAAATGGTCTCCCAACGTGTGTTCTGCTCTCAGAGGAGGCAGCCCTTATGTCACCATTAACACAGCCATTGGGCTAGTTTTATTTATTTATTTAATATGACATAGAACCTTATTTGCAAGTAGTTAAAGGAATAGTTTATATGGGTGTCAAAAGAAATAGTTTCTTCGATGCATCACAATGCAGACACAAACAGTTCAGTATCGTTTCAGTAATAATCATAACAGGCTATTATACATATGTCATTTATCACATTTGCCTTTTATGGCAGTTGCTTACTATGGCGAGGGAGGAGACCATGAGTAATTAAATCGCTTTAACTACTTTAAAAACAGATAACTGTGCACAATTTTACTGCTTTTGAGTTTGCTGGACAGTCTTTCACTCTCAGTCTGTCGCTCGCTCTCTGTATCCCCTTTGACCTGCTGGCTTATTCGTGAGGTAACGTTGTATCTCTTCTCTCGGCTGTTTCAACAATAATGTTACTTGTGGATCCAGACATGTTTTCTTCACCACCCCATCGTCTATAACTGATTAGCTGATCGCCGCGGCTGTTTAACATCAGTGTCTGTGTCAGATTGCTGAACAACGCCAGAGTCATGCTGACCATTTAAGCCAATCACAGCTTTTTTTGTTGAGCACGTGACCAATCATAGGCGTTTAAGAACTCGCTCGACAACACTAAAAAAAGCAAGCGGGACAATATTTACATTTGTTTATTTGCTTTAAAAGCCCATGTTGTTCTGTGCATGCACTTTAGTTTTGTTCACATTCACAAAGCGTTTTGTTTGAACAGGTAAAATTTAAAGTACAGTACATATATCTGTCTTTTATTAAAGGACAAAATTGTATTACAAAGAATATATAAATTTAAATATATTAATAAATTATACATTTAAATACAATAATTATTGTTTTGCTAAGTAAAATATCAAATTGCTTATGGAAAGCATCGTCAATGCATTGTAATTTACCAAGATATCCAATTGAACCAAATCAATGGCATGATAATCATAACCAAACCGAACGGTGGGACCACTGTAGGTTCACACCAGTAATAGTTCACATAAGCAGTTGCTGTTTTGTTTTGCTTGTGCTTATCGTTGGCGTTTATACTGTATTTTCACTGCAGATAAGCCAAGCTGAGTATGCAAAATCACTTCCGATATTAGAGGCACATAATGAAACTCGCCCTTGAATTTTATTTGATCTGCAGTTCCTCTACACAACTCACTCTTGTCGACATTTTTGTAGTCACTATTGCTTTTATCATGCAGCTCTTTGCGTTCAGATGCCAAAGAAACAAACAGCGCTACATTGGAAATATGTGCTTGTCTAGACCATTCAGTATTTTATCGCCACCAAGTTTTAATTAAGGCTGATTTATACTTCTGCGTCAAGTGCACGCGTAAGCTCTGGTGCAGCCTTCGCACAGCTGCATAGGCTTTGCCTTGGCTGATGGTGACGCTGACTCGCACCTCTCTAAAATTGTAGCTACACGTCGCAACGACACATGGTGCAAGCTCTGTGATTGGTTGGCTTGGTATCGCTGACGAGACTGGGCAGGACCGAGAGCTGCGAGAGAGCTAGTGTTTACAAGTGTCAAATCCAGTGACGAAGCTCCAGGTGTAAAGTTTTGTTTTGTGTTTACCTTATGATTTAAGCTGTTGCAGGTCTGCCGGTTCCTGGCTCTGAATGAGCGAGTTTGAGCCACTTGTACATTAAGGTAGCATTCACAAAAAACAAAACTCCAGCGAAGAAACTCGCAAAGCAACACAAACATCACACAGAAGTATAAATGCATGGCAACGCGCAAGGCATGTTCCCTGGGTCACGCCGATCACTTGACGCTGAAGTATAAACCAGGTTTTACTGTTACTTTATAAGTTCAAGGCACGTTAACAAAAGTGCCAATCTCATTGGTCAGCATGTTTTAAATGTGGCGCGTCAAATAAAAACGAGTCTGACATGCTTTTTTTTTTGTAAAATGATGCTTTTATACCTGGTGTTTTGCACGTTTAATCATGAGGCATTAAACATCGGTAAAAAGCGTGAGTGAAAATCACTCAATGTGCACAAGACTTTAGACTGATGTTCTTATATTGAACACAAAAACAGTAAAAAGTTTATTTTTAATTGCTAGTTAAGGAGTGACATCTAATTGTTCCTCCTTTTCTTTAGGGGCCAGTAATGAATTGTGCAAGACTGGCTGAGAAAGCTGTCGCTCTTCTCTGTTGTGAAAAACTCCACAAAATTGGTGAGCACGAAGAAGTCCAATTATTCAAGATGACTTCTGAGACCGAGAGTGTCTGACTGGTGCATATTGTTCTTGTCCAGGTGAACTGGATGATCATCTGATGCCTGTGGGAAAGGAAACTGTGAAGTATGAGGAGGAGCTGGACCTGCATGATGAAGAGGAGACAAGCGTGCCAGGAAGACCAGGCTCCACTAAACGGAGACAGTGCTCCCCAAAAGCCGTGAGTTATTTCACATTTTTAGTCATTCAGAGTGATTTTTCAGAAGTGTAATGTTCTGATTTGGTGCTCAAGAAACATTTTTTTTTCATCATGTTGATATTAGTTTCTAATAGTTAATTGTACTGCTTAATTATTTTTGTATAAACTCTAGTGTTAAGAAATACAGAAAGTCTTCAGTATCTTGTATGATGTTTTTTAGATACCAGAGTGTCTGCGGGGTTGTTACCCTGTGCCAGAGCAGCCTTGCTACCTTTACGTTATTGGGATGGTCCTCACCACCCCTCTACCTGACGAACTCAACTTCCGGCGGAGGAAGCTGTATCCACCAGAGGACACAACCCGATGTTTTGGCATTCTGACAGCTAAACCAATACCCCGGGTAACCGCCTTTAACATATCATCACTTTTGAAGAAAACCTTGCAAAGATTTGAAATTTGAATAAATCTAAATATTTCATTGTCCTGGTATTAGTTCACACCCCAGTAATATTTGCTCACCATTTAATTACCCTCAAGTGGTTCCTAACTTTAATAAGTTTATTTCTGTTGAACACAAAGATATCATTGCTAAACAGTAGCCATTGGCATAAATAGTAGGAAAGAAATGAGTTGAGTTGTACTTGTGCTTTTTCAGGAAATTTATCTTTGACTCAAACAACACATTTGTACACATACAAAAAAACATGATGTAACATTTACCGAGATTTAAAAGCCATTCAAGTTAATTTGCCATTTAAAATGCTATTGGGACACTAGTATAACTGACTTGTTGTATTAATTACTTTTACACAAAGGCTTCCCCGATGGCAGTACTTCATACATTGGAATTAAAACATGATTTGGATCATTTGCTGTTATTTGTATGTTCCTAAAAACCAACAACTCCAGGGTTTTTTTCTACCTGCTTGATCAGACCAGTGGTTCAGATTTTCACTGGCCCTGCCAAAAAAAGTACTAAATAGCTATTTCTTAGCCACATACTTTAAATAATGTATCAAAAGCCAAGTATAATTGTATACATACACTTTTTATTCATTCATTTATTCTATTGAATTAATCTATTTTAAAAAATGTTGGCTGGAATTATGCATTATAGGCTTAAATTATAGAGAGAAATAACAGATGAACCGGTGTTGTGTTAAGAAACGCACCCTGCTGTAAATTGTACCCCCTCTGAAATTAGCATATATTACCCTAAATTGATTTAAACTAGTAATAGAGTTATGACATCTAATGACAGTGACTGAAGTAAGGTCCATGAATTGAATCCTTACCTTACAGAAGATATATATTTAAATCAATAAATAGATTAAATTTAAAATACTGTTTTAATCAATTATGGCCTTCATTTTTTATTTTTTTTATGTAGACTGATTATACTAATAAAAGTCTATAAAGGAGGTGCGTGCATTTTACCGCAGGGTTGCATTTCTCTCCACAACACCAGAACTGCAGTCAGATCATGAAGCAGATCAATGTTGATTTTTCTTTCGAGACGTCAGTGCAGAAATGAACAAAACAATAGGCCTAATACAAAATATTATAAGATTAAAATATGGATTATAAGAAGGTAATTTCGCACATTTTCCTAACTGATAAACAGCACTCGATAATATTTAAGCATGCTTTCACTGTCGTATTCCACATAAAACGCACATTTATCATTCCACCGTACTCATAATTCTCTCTTCATATGGCTGTTACTCAACAATAATACACTGTGATATAGCCTGGTTTGTCAGTTTGTTGGATCATTTTGTTTTCCCACTACAATCGATCCGCTCCAGTTCGTTTTAACTTACTGGGCAAAACAAACGTCTGGGCGTGAAAGCACCCTGTATTTGCATGCAATTGACAAACAGTTGCAACCAAATTAAACTTTAGTGACACGGCAGCACTAAACCATACTGCTAACTGTCTCGAGTGTCTCGCACACTGGCCCCAGGCCATCGGGCAGTCCTTAATTTCGAGCTCTGAACTCACTGACTGCAGTGATGTATACTAGGCATATACCATCAAAGTCATTAGCCCCTTTCAAACATCCAGACTTTTCCGGAAAATTACCGGCTTTTTGAAAATACCGGTAAATTCGTTCTGGCTATTTTCCGGAAAGAGAAGTTGTAACATTACCGGTATTTTGCCGGAATGCTGCGCTGTGTGAATGCAGAAGGAAGATTGCCGGAAAGAGTGCGTGCACGTCTAGAAGGTGCTGACGTGAGACACCTGCTTTAGCCAATCAGAACAGTAAGACGCATTCACGTGCGCGCGATTTATGAGAATAAGAGCCTTTGAATATTTTTCCAGACACCTTTAGCTCCTAGATGTTAGTCCGATAACGTTTCTATGTTCCTTCTTAATGCTAACTGTGTAAATAATTATCGATAAAATGTTTATGGTAATTCGTTGTTTGTTTACCTTCAAGCTTTGCGTGTGCCCGTGAGCCCCCATAGCGACAGCACACACACATATCATGAACATCTCGACATGCGAAAGTGTTCCTCTATATGTTTTCATTGGAGTTGTACTCAATACTGATCCATCCAAAGAGTTTTAATGTAGTCAAATGTTTACAAACACAAGCGCAGCCGTTTAGAGGTCATTTCTGGTTAATGATGTCAGAATTTACCGGTATTTTGAAATGGATGTGTGAATGCTCTTTTCCTCGCCTGTGTGAACAGTGCTTTTTTGAATTTACCGGTAAAGTCGTTCCGGAAATTTTCCGGATATTTACCGGTATCACTGTGTGAAAGAGGCTATTGGCTGACAGTTTCCAACTTTCTTCTGAATATCAGCTTTTGTGTTCAACAAGAAAATTAATTCCAATATGATGACAGCATTTTCATTCTTGGGAGATCAATCCTTATTAGTTTTGAAGATGATAAATGTCATGATCTTTTTTCCCTCCCTCAGATCCCTCATTTCCCTGTGTACACTCGTTCTGGTGAGGTGACCATCTCCATTGAGCTGCAGAAGTCGGGCTTTAGTCTAAGTGCGGAGCAGCTGGAGCTGATCACACGTCTGCATCAGTACATCTTCTCCCACATCCTCCGTCTGGAAAAGCCAGCACTAGAGTTTAAGCCTGTAGAGGCAGATTCTGCCTACTGTGTTCTACCTCTCAACATCGGTGAGTGTCGCAGTCTTGTCTGAGATTAAAGTTAATCATTAGTTTATTATATTTTTAGTTTTTTTAGGATTATTTAGACCTGCAACAAATCTGTCAAATATTTGTTTTATTATTTGGACAAAAAGCCAGTGTTTTTGTTCTGTCATTTATTGAGCAAGCATGTGCGTTCCAGATCTTATCCATTTTTCCATTTAAAATGTCAGATGCTCTTCATTTAGCAATAGAGACTAATTAATATTACAAAACATCTGTTAATTTTTATTTGTTTCATTATTTATTGCAGCTAGTGATGGCAATATTGGGACTTTTATTTTGAGAGCTGATTATTTTTAGCTATTGTATCCAAATAAACTATATTTTAATACTTATAATCAGGGTATCCACGGGGTCGTAAAGTTTTAAAATGTCTTAAATCAAAAGCAAAATTTTAGGCCTTAAAGTCTTAAATTCACTGAAATATTGTGTTGTAGGTCTTCAATCTTTTTTTTTAACAGGTCTTAATTTTCCTTTGTTCAATGTTCAAGAGTTCATCCAATAAAATATCTTTACAGTAACATTTGTTTAATAATCCTCTATTTATTTACTGCTGAGGATACTGACCTGACCTATATTTTTGTATTATTAAGTTATTATTATTATTGACTGAAGTAGTTGACAGATTTGTTTTGTTCTTTTCTTGGTAAGGGTTATCGAGTTTTTGAATAGATATATTTGAAAATTGTTTTTAAAAAATTTCAAACAAAATTATAGAAAATCTTCTCTAACTGGGATATTGAAAAAAACCCTTAGCATTTAGCCCTGTATAAGTCTAATTAGTCAGAATTTTTGTTGTTATTATTTTTTTTATTAACAGATTTGTTAATATTATTTGTTATTAACAGATCATTTTGTCTGACTTTAAAGTGGCACACAAGGGTTAAAATATTTTTTAAATAATATAGTTTTAGCCCTCCTTTTAATTTTTTTCATTTTCAAATATTTGCCAAATGATGGAAATTAGCCATAGCAAGGACATTGTCACAGTATGTCTGATAATATTTTTTTTCTTCTGGAGAAAGTCTTATTTGTTTTATTTCAGCTAGAATAAAAGCAGTTTTTAATTTTTCTAATACCATTTTAAGGTCAAAATTGTTGTCCCCTTTAAGCAAATTTTATTTGATAGTCCACAGAACAAACTATCGTTATACAATAGCTTACCTAATTACCCTTAACTGCCTAGTTAACCTAATTAACCTAGTTAAGCCTTTAAATGTCATTTAAGCTGTATAGAAGTGTCTTGAAAAATATATAGTAAAATATTATGTTCTGTCATCATGGCAAAGATAAAATAAATTAATTATTAGAGATGAGTTATTAAAACTATTATGTTTATAATGTGTTGAAAAAAATCTTCTCTCCTTTAAATAGAAATTGGGGAAAAAAAATAAACGGGGTGGCAAATAATTCAGGGGGGCTAATAATTCTGATTTCAACTGTATATCAGCCATCGGCTACCCCTACTTCGCAATACACTGGCTGTATAAGCTGTATTCAAGCATTTGTTTCAGTGATATTCCAATTTTTTTTATAACTGGTGTTCTTTTCAGTTGAGGATTCCAATACTTTGGATCTGGATTTCAAGTTCATGGAGGATATTGAAAAGTCTGAAGCACGCATTGGCATTCCAAACACTCAGTACACCAAGCAAAACCCATTCATCTTCAAATTGGAGGACTACCAGGATGCTGTCATCATTCCAAGGTACAAAACATACTCGAGTCTTATTGCTGTTGTAATTAAGCAGTCATTGATGATTTATACTGTGCTTTTGTTTTCGCTCAAGTTGAACCATGGCCTCCTTTCTCATTTTCCTCCTCTCAGGTATCGTAATTTTGACCAGCCGCATCGGTTCTACGTGGCTGACGTTTACACAGACCTCACCCCGCTCAGTAAATTCCCCTCTCCAGAGTACGAGACTTTTGCCGAATACTATAAAACCAAGTACAACCTGGACCTGTCAAATGTTAATCAGCCCCTACTGGATGTGGACCACACATCTTCAAGGTAGGAAGGAAAAATAAAAAAATACTTCATGGTATGTGTTTTTTTTTTATAAACCCCCAAAAATTCATTACATGTCCATGGTGGTCTTTTCCTGTAGATTGAATCTTTTAACTCCCCGGCACCTTAATCAAAAGGGGAAAGCCCTTCCTCTCAGCAGTGCGGAGAAGAGAAAGGCCAAGTGGGAAAGCCTACAAAACAAACAGGTATTAACTGTCGGAAAGAATTTGCGGTGATAATTATGAGCCATCATACCTGAATTAAGTGTAATCACGCTGAATGAATGAGTGCTTCCTCCCAGTGAGAGTGGTAATGGTCGAACAACGGTTTGATTCATATCAGATAACTTTTTTTGGTTTGTATTTTTGCTCTATCTTCTTAGATTTTAGTTCCGGAGCTCTGTGCCATTCACCCCATCCCAGCCTCTTTGTGGAGGAAAGCCGTCTGCCTTCCCAGCATTCTCTATAGACTTCACTGCCTTCTGACGGCCGAAGAGCTGCGGTCTCAGACAGCCATCGATGCTGGCGTAGGGGCTCAGACCTTGCCTCCTGATTTCAGGTCAATTAAAAAAACATTACACTTATTCTTGCTTCCAAAACTTAGTATACTTATGGCCCGTTTCCACTGAGTGGTACAGTACGGTACAGTATGGGTTGCCTTTATCAGGCTTGTATTCCCACTGCCTAAAGGGTATTTAAAAATGGCGCTTTCTTTGTGTTTATTATCCTGCTTGTATATGCACTAGTGACGTTTCTCTGTAAACCAATATCGTTCAGCTACATGTCTAGCTCCGCCTTTTGGTACCCTTTTGTTGTGCCAGGTACCCTTTTAAAAGGGTACCCAAAAAGTGGTACGGTACGGTTTGCTTTATGGTACTTTTTGACAGTGGAATTTAGTTTGATTGAGTAACTATTATAGTTTTTATAAAGTGTTATTTATATTATGAAATTGGAGCTTTTCTGTTTTTAATTGAACATTTTAATGATTTTGCTGGAGAAGAGCAACAGTTGTGCTTTGTAAATATTTTCATTCGCAAAACAGAACAAATGATAAATGAAAAGATGATCACTTTCAATGTTGCAGCTAACATGTAATTTTATATAGTTCTTTTTGTTTATTGATAAAATCTCTTTTAATGTGTGTGCCGACACTAGGCATGGGCCGGTGTAAGACTTTGACAGTATGATAACCTTGGATAAAAATATCACGGTGTGATTACTGCTCCAAATTAGGTTCCTTTTAAATGTCTGGGTAAAAAGCAACATTTAAAATATTTTGGATCAGTAGCTTAGTAGAGGTTCATTTTCTGCTGGAGACACTGTTTTCCTTAGGAACGATATAACAGAATAATTTTTCAATTTAACAACATAAAATGGTGGACCAATTGGAGCGGTTTTGAGACCAACTGCAACGTGACATAGGACTGTGGTCCCCCCGCCCATCTAATTGATTGACAGTTGCGTATAAACATGTCTTCGTAGTGCAGTATAATCAAATCAACAAGACAGGATGTGCGTAAAGCAACCGGGAATAAAAGGTCTGTCCAGTTTGCTTGGATCATCAATCATCATCAAATGTGATCAAAAGTGAGTTTTACAAGTTTAAAATGTTTTAAAACAGTGCATGTGTGTAATGAATTACAGCGATTCACTTCCGATTCACTTCATTAGCACAGCCGCGTATCAGAACAATTATAAAAGAAGATGCTTCAATCCCGGCATAACAGATATCCATACAGCAGTGGAGATTAACCTGCATCCTGTCACATTTGTGTGCAAAAACAGTGCAAAGCTAAATGCGCGCGCTGTCTGTGTGTGTCCGCGCTGTGTGTGTGTATCTGTATGTGTGTGTGAACTTTGTAACGACATTGTGTGCGTCTCATCATTGTAACTCAACAACAGATGCATCAAATACTCATTGATAAAGTTCTTACTGTGGTATTTCTCACAAACGCTACGCAAGATCTTCTTTCTTCATCTCTGTCTGTTGTCTGAGGCAGCCAAGGGCAGAGATTGAGGCACGCTGACAGGCATGTGGGAATGGAAGGCGGGCGGACTAGCCTTAAAGGGCCAGGACATAAAAACAGCAAAAAGCTGTTTAGAGCTATAAAATACAGACTACTGAAAGCTATAATAAATAATCTGATGGGGGTTTGGAGCTAAAACTTTACAGACACATTCTGGGGACACAAAAGACTTGTATTAAATTTGGAAAAAGGGGTAACCTGGGTGCCCTTTAAATACATTTACATTTACATACAGCAGATGCTTTTGTTCAAATCGACTTCCAATTCAGCGATTCATCAAAAAGAGGCAATACACACAAGAAGTGCTAATTATACAAAGAAAGAAGTTTGTGCTCAGAAAATTTAAGCAGGGTTTTGTTTTTTTGTTTTTTCACACTTCATAACTGCACAATGTTTTTTTTTTTGTGCAATGTTGTTTTTTTGTTTGTTTTTGTTATGGAATGATTGTAAAAATGGGTCTGGTGCAAATGAGCAAAAACTGGTTCAAATGTTGGTTAAAGTGTCAGAGAGATGGAAGTAGGGATTCTCCGATAAGACCTCGCTTTACCTAAAATCATAAAATTGGGATGTAGCATTCATGTAATGGTCAGAAGAAGCTCTACGGAAAAAAAAATAGATAAAACAGATAAAAAATGGTAAGAAAATGAATAACAGTGAAATTTGGAAACATTGCTCATGTGTTGTTGCGCTGCCAATGCATAACCCGGGCGCGCACATGCATCTTTCTCTGCTTTTAAACTCATAAACAAACACTTGAGATCGGTTCATGAGATCGGCCAGATTAACAAGTATCGATCAAGTCATTAAATGTACTGATCTCCGGCCGATTAATCAGAGCATTCCTAGATGAAAGTGTGTTTTCTACAGGTAGTTTGTTAAGCCCAATGACCTGTTCAGAATTTGTAATATTTAAGGCTTGGTTGGTGTGTGGTGAGGTGCGTGAGAGAAGAGGGTTCAGGTGATCTCGAATAGATGGGATTTTAGTTGTCGTTTGAATGATGTCTGTGTGGATTGCAGATAACACCTACATGTAACATCCACAGAAGGTCAGGTGTTGGATTCAATTTCAAGTTACTATAAATGATTAAGAGTTACTGCCTTTAAAATGTTACTGTTCAGTCAAAGTGCTAAGTATAATGATCTCATTGAATGTTGACCCCAGGTATCCTAATTTGGATTTCGGATGGAAGAAATCCATCGACAGCAAGTCTTTCATCTCCTGCCCCAGTGCATGTATGGAAGAAGACGACGATCACTGTAAACTCGGCACAAGCTCCGATTCAAACCACACTGCCCCCGAGAGCTGCAGTATGGAGGTCTCCCAGCCTCCAGAAGGCGCTCCCAACACACCAGATGAAAAGCTAGAAACCCTCACTCTCCCTGTGACTGATCTAAACAAAGACTGTTTCCCAAACCTCCCAAACGGCACTCAGGCCGACAGCGACGACCTCCCTCACAGAAGTGACGTTTGCCAATGCTCTCAGCTGGGCCCTCTGGAGAGAGACCTATCAACACAAACCACTACCTCAGTTTCAGTGCGGCCCTCTCCAGCTGGAGAACCACAGCCATGGCCCAGCGATGAATGTACAGGCAGGAGCTCGGATCTCTGCGACCCACATGTGAAGAAACCTACCTCAAAGCATTGCCCTAAATCGGAGACGGCGACTAGCACCCCAGCACCTTCAGAAACGTCATCAGAGGACTGTAGATCAGCCTGCGCTGGTCCAGCCTGGGATTCGCCCAAAACCCTGGGCCCGAACCCCGGGCTCATCCTGCAGGCCCTGACTCTCTCCAACGCCAGTGACGGCTTCAATCTGGAACGCCTGGAGATGCTGGGCGACTCCTTCCTGAAACACGCCATCACCACATACCTGTTCTGCACTTACCCTGACGCCCACGAGGGCAGACTGTCCTACATGAGAAGCAAGAAGGTGAGATTTTGTCAAGTTAAAGGAATAGTTTAGCCAGAAATGAAAAATAGTCCATAATTTACTCTCCCCCAAACCATTCTCTTTGTGTCGGTTTTGTCTAGTATTTTTCTGACACAGATATAGTAGTTTTAAATTTTACCCTGGATCTTCCATGCTACATAATGGTTTAAGATAGATACGTTTTATTTGAAACCTCCAAAAGCACATTTTGATCTGTATTTAAAACAAAAATATTACACATTTTTGAATTATAATTTCCAATCACTGACTTCAGGTGGAGGCCGAATGCATGTTATGTATCACTGACATATACTATGGGATTATATATAGAGTTTATACGGTCATGGAAAACCTGGAAAAATCGTGTAATTTTGACATGGCATTTTCCAGGCCTGGAAAAACCCACAAGGTTTTGGAAAAGTCATGGAAATTACATTTAGTCATTTAGTAGAAATTTTTGTCCAAAACGACTTAAGCTGCGGTCACACTAGAGCTTGTGCTTTCAAAATTCTATGGCGCTGTGAAAAGGGGTGGGGTTAAACTATATGATTAAACAGTCGTAAAAGATTGCTCCATATTTTAAATTGCTTATTTTAAATGATCTTCTATTGGTCTTACACAATCACCTGATATGATTTCGCAGATAAGAATTCACAAGCTTGAACTTTAGAATGCAGTAAAATGTGAAACTTTTCACATGTGTTTGTGTTTCTGGGCTGCCGCATTAGCATGCCTATGAATGAAAGTCTATGAAGCGAAAAGTGCAGTGTGATCGCGGCTTCACCTATTACTAATTTAACAAGCTAATAAGATTATCTAAAATTAGATTGACAAATATCTGTTGATTAGAATGGAGGTTAGTTGTTTTTACTTGTTTTATTTTCGTGGCCAAAAACATGCTCTCACATTATTAGTGCTGTTTAAGCATCATCCTGTTGCAAAGATATAAATATAAATTGAAACTATTGCGTGTTTTTTGATATACTATGAATACAGTTCACGACTTGATATGTGTGTGCATATATTTTTTATTTAATTAAATTTTAGAGCCTTAGTTACACAAAACAATGTTATGTGCTCTTGTGTTATGTACTCAGCCTTCACTTGTCAAAAAAAAAAAGTTTAATAAAATTTTTCTGTTGAACACAAAATAAGTTAATTTAAGAGATGTTGAAAACCTGTAGCCATCGACTTTCATAGTATTTGTATTTCCTACTATGTAAGACAATGGTTACCGGTTTCTAACATTTTTCAAAAAATCTCTTTTTGTGTTCAAAAGAAAAAGAATAATCTTTATGGTTAGAAACCACTTGAAGGGGAGTAAATACAGTAGGGCTGCCACTAATCGATAAACTGATAATTGATTAATCTAATGATTATTTTTTTGATTAATTGATTAACCGGATAAAAAACAAGAAAAGCATTCATTTCCAACACTTTATTCAAAAACAGAACTACAATCTTTAGAAAGTGCATTCATGTTGCTCTTTGAACATCCCTGAGCTTTTATAATAAAAATTAAATAAAAACTAACTAGGTAGTTTTGTCCTGTTTTCAATCCAGGTATCTAAAAATAATTAAATCAAGATTGATACAAGACACATGAAATAGCATAGGAAATTATGTCTTGTTTTCTGAAAAAAACACCAAATGAAGTGATTGTTTGCCTAAAACAAGCAAAAATATTTGCCAATGGGGTGAGAAAAAATAATCTTAATGAGATGTAATCTCTAACAGAAGTTTTAAGCATCACTTAATTTTCTCATTCCATTTTCTTGTCTTGTAATCTTGATTTAAGATTATTTATTTTTTTATTTTTGTCTGGAAACGAGACGAAATTACTTTTTAAGAAAAGCCTATTTTTGCAGTGTATCTATAAATCACAAGCTTGCTCATCATGCCATCAACTACCTGACATTCCAATTCACAAAAACGTGTCAGTGTATTTGTTGTTTAAAAGATGGTATAAATGATCTCTGTAACGTGAGATGGCGATCGCCATGTTTTCTTGTGGCTGTACAAATGCCTCAATCATAAAAACGGAACATGCAGGATTCAGCACGTAAATTCATGGTTTGCTCCCAAAATTCATGCAAGTATGTTCATTCCGCGCTCAACTAAAGTATTTTTTATTTTTTGTAATCAAATGTCCCTAAGTTGCACAACACAATGAATCGACTATGAAATTTGGCATCTCTTTTAGTAATCGTTTTTTCTTATTTAAGCGATTCGTTGTTGCAACCCTAAAATATAATGAGTAATAATTTTTTGGGTGATCTGTCCATTTAAGATGAATTAGCCCTGTAAATTGAGAACTTTATTCAGTCATAGGTAGGCTTGAAAAAAAATCCCCTCTTTCTCGCACTGACCTACAGTTTATTCCTTATTTGAACTGATTACTTAAAAAAAAAAAAAAAAGATGATAGCTAACGGATAATTTGCGTCCTAAACTGTGTTTGGTTTTCATCACACTTTACAATTTTTCTGTGTTTTACTTAGAAGAAAATAATTTAATTTAATTCACTGCTATCATTTAAAAGGTTAAAGGTTACATTATCAATGATTCATAAATAATTATTCATCATATAAAGCAAATGTGCCTCTTCCAAATGTTTTGAAAACCATTTCATTCATATGGATACATATGTCCTTAAGTACCTTTTGGGTGAATAGACTTTCAATTGAGTGAAAAAAAAATGTTTTTTGATAAAAAAAAAAAAAAATCTTTGTTTGGGTTGCAGAAAATCTTTTCTTATTAGGTTGGGTAAGTAAATGATTAAAGATACTAATTTAAATCTTAATGATGTAGTGAACTACACTGTAAAAAATGCTGGGTTCCATACAATTGCTTCATGTTGTCCGAAAACAAGTTGATTACGTTGTATAAGCTTTACAAATTTAAGTAGATTGAACATAAAACTATTAAGATGTCCCAAACAAAAACCATAAGAATTGTGTTGTTTCAACTCATTTTAAATAAGTAGTTTAAATAAGCAGCAAAAGTCATTTTTTTGAGTGTATATAGTTTGTCTCATAATCATTACCAGTTGTTACCAACTTTACATTGTGCTTATTTAAAAACTGATTAACTACTTGTGACTTAATGATTGATCAAAAAAACTCTCTCTCTCTGATATTTCCAGGTCAGCAACTGTAACCTGTATCGGCTGGGGAAGAAGAAGGGTCTTCCGAGTCGAATGGTGGTGTCCATCTTTGACCCGCCGGTAAACTGGCTTCCTCCAGGCTACGTCGTGAATCAGGACAAAAGCAGCACAGACAAGTGGGACTCAGATGAGGTATGAGTCAGAGAGCATCTCCGCTTGTTTACCCAAACGCTCCAGTCCAGCTTAACCCAATATCAACATGCATCTTCATGCACAATTACAAATCTGTTTACATGGCTCTGTGCCTTCAGCTGAGGAGCATGTTGGCAGCATAGAAGTGCAGCTCTTTTTGTCTCCACCACTAGGGGGCAGGTGGATCCTTTCTGGGTGAAACTGGCCTGCAGAAGAGACAGTAGAATGGTTTTGTGCAGTTATTTATTTTCCATTAAAAATGTTAGAAATAATCGGTTCAACAGGGTGTGTGTTTAGTGATTTATAGATTTATATATGTGGTAGAATGTCTCTTGGGTAATTCCTTACAAAGCTGGTTACAAAAAAAAAAAACTACTGGAATTAGCAGTAATGCAAAAAACATAGGTGTAAGTTAGGCATGGACAGATAACTGGTTTAAAGGTTTATCGTGGTTTAGGCAAAGTCAAGGTTAAAAAAACACAAAAATTTTAATGTAAGGGCTTTCACTGTGTGGTTTTTTATGTGTTGTAAAGAAATCTGTGTTTTTTAAACTAATTAAGAGAGCAGAAGTCAATGATTTATTTGAAATATTTAGCCTGATATGTTTACTATTCCAAAATATTATAAATGTTTCCTAAAATAAAATGTTCTTTAATTAATGGGGGAACGTTACCCTGTCATTTAAAAATAACTTATTTTAGAGCAGTAATCACAAAACTGTGAAACCGTGATATTGTTTATGCGAGGTTATCATACCATCAGAAACTTATACTGGCCCATGCCTAGTAAATATGTAATTACATTTTTTTATAACTGAGTAATTAAAACATATTACAGTAATGGTCCCAGTGCTCCCATTTAAACAATGTGTAAACTAAAAAAAAAGATTAATATATGTCATCTGTCATCCAAAATATAAACCAAAAAATTATATAATATATTATTTATTTAACATTATATATATTTTTGACATTTGTATATTAATGATTTCAAGTTTAACTTAATTTGAAGTAGACTGAATAAAAGTATGAATAAAAAAAAAAGTATAAATTAAAAATTCATGATTAGGAGAAGCTTACAGGTTATTTTTATTTTTAACAAATTAATGTTATCGAAAAATCCTGAAAAATGCATTACAAAAAAGTCTATTTATTTACATTTTCCTTAAGAACAAAATCAGCATAAGAATGATTTCTGAATGAAATTATTTTTTCTTTTTGCTAATTATATTAATATTATTACACAATAGGGCTGCACAATACATCATTTCAGCATCGATATCGCAGTGTGCACATCCAGAATAGTCACATCATAGGATATGCAATGCTGAGTCTGAATTAGGCATGGGTTATGGGTATAAGTTTGTGACGGTATGTTAACCTTGGATAAAAATATCACAGTATTGTGATTACTGCTCTAAAATAGCTTCTTTTTAAATGTCTCAGTAAAAAACAACCCATTTCCCTGCCTATTTAACATAATATACATTTCATTCTACAATTTTCAATTTACAATTCACATTTATAAAAATTTTGGATCAGTAAACATGTCAGGCTAAATAATACAAATAAATCATTGACTTTCTGCTACGTTCATTAGTTTACAAAACACATAATACAACCCATTATAAACCTTACATATACAAAAAATACACCTTACATATACAAAAACAGCTTACAAATACTTTTATAATGTATATTTATTAAATTATTTATACAGTAAAGACTTTTGCAGTGTTATTTTACATTGATTATTCAAATTTTGTACTTGAGTACTACGTGACTGCCATGAAAACCAGAAAACACTACTTATCACGCTTCTCTTTTTGCTCTTTTGTATTTAGCTATGCTTGTAATGTGTTTATTACATTACATGCATAATTAACTTCCCTATAGAATTATCCCAATCAATCTAATTGAATAAATTCTTTCCAAATAGCAGTTATCTAGTCATCTGGTGAAATTGTACACACAGTACATCGCAATATTAATCGCAATAGTCTGATTTTTTTCAATTTTATGCAGTCCTACTACACAATATAGATATGTGTCATTTATTTTTAATTTAAATGCAACCCTCGGGAACAATTTGTCACATTCTAACAACAAAAACAATATCGGTCTGTAACTTCTGATAGGTCGTGTAAAAATCACATAATCCAATATATCGTGCTATTTAAAATATCTCCAGCCCTTAAGCAAAAACACATTTCAAAGGCGCCTAAAATATGTAATATATTTTAATAAATATAAGCCGCCGTTTTTTCCATCTGTGTTGACGCATGTGTGTTGTATTAGGACATGTGCAAATAAGAGTCAGAGAAATGGAAAGAGCTCTGCTTCTGGTTTCTAGCAGGCTCTGGATGGTCTGGCTCTGTGTGTTTTGGGTCGCTCTGTGTGGTACGGGGTGTGTTTGTATGGTCTGACTGGACTGAATTCGCCGTGGGTGCTGTAATTTTAAGTGTCACTTCCATGTATTATTACAGTATTAGGTGTCAAGGGTATTAACATTTTAATGAATATGCAATAGACGTTTGCTCATATGCTCAGAGTTATGGCATATGAATGATTAAAAAAAGATTTTCAGCTTGCGAATCACATTAGATTGGATGAGTCATTGAGTTGGACTGAGTCTCTCGCCTCTCCTGAGCAAACATAATACTGTGGTTGAACTAAAACACTTTTAATTTGTAATCTTTGCAAATCTGTTGTAGATACTGAGCTTTGGCTTTTACGTGGCTCTTGGACTCGGTGTTCTTTTTGTGATGTTGTTTGTTTGGTTTGTGTTTGTGAGCTGTTAGACACTCGGGGAAATCTGTTTTTGTTTCTCTGAATAAAAAATTGGCCTGTGGAAAAGCCAGCAGGGATGTGAAGTCTAGAAATGTGGCAGATTTACATGAGCACAGCAAATGGAATTTAATTAAATATACATACGCAGACATAAATCTAGCCTTTTCAAGTATATATTTATTTAAATTTATTGCACATTTACTTCAATCTTATACTTGTGCCTTATTACAATATTTAAAATAATTGTTCTTATTTTAAGTAATGCATTTAGAAATAATACCTTTGAAATCATAATATTTAATACATATTTTAATATTTATTTCGTGATGTTTTTTGAGTTGAGAATTTTTTTCTGTTTAACTTGGCCAGCAAAAAAACGCTTAAATATTGTAGTAGATTTTCATCAACAAATAAGTAACATTTACTAACCTCTGTATTTATTTATTTTTCATTGTTAAAATGTACTTTAATGTCATGTTTAAGCATTGTTTTAAAATCTTTATTAACTAACATTTGTCGTAAGAAATTAGCAATGCATAAAAAAGATGAATATGTAATTAAAATAATGAAATCTTGTTGGTTTTTATAAAGATGATTGGCCAACTGAAAAAAAAAGTGATTATAAGAGTTCTAGCAATATTACATAATCTAACAATTTTCACAAGTGTGCTTAAAAAATGAATACTTTATATCGTTGTAATAAATATATTCAAATATAAATATTATAACAAAAGTATAACAATTATTAATAATTTAAAAAAATGTCAGTCTAAAATGATAATTTATAAGAGTTTATAATATTGTAGTACAATAATGGTTGTTTGAAAATGATAAATGTTATAAAATGTTTAGTTTTATAAATATTAATTGTTTTGGAAACTATTTGTCAGACTTAAATCATAATATTTAACAGTAAATAATCTGTAGAAGTAATATTAATGGTTGTTTAAAAATTATAAATATTATAAAATTTTTAGTTTTATATTAATTATTTTAGAAAACATAAATAATTTTTAAAAGTCAATCATATATAGTAGTAGTAATAATAATGGTTGTATAAAATGTTTAAATATTAAAAATGTTTAATTTGATAAATATTAATTAATGTGGAAACAATTTGTCTTAAATTATAATATTTAACAGTGTATAATGTATAGTAGTAATAATAATGGCAGTTAAAAATTATAAATATTATAAAATGTTTAATTTTATAAATGTGAAATATTATTATAAAGAAAATAAATGTCAGCGTAAAATTATAATACATAACAGTAAATAATGTATAGTAGTAATATTCGTTGTTTAAAAAATATAAATATTATAAAATGTATAAATATTATAAATATTGATTATTTTTTGGAGGAAAAAAATCAGTCTTAATATAATATAGAACAGTTTATAATGTATTGTAATAACAATAATGGCTGTTTAAAAATGATAAATAATATAAATTTTTAATTGTGTAAATATGATAAATTATTTTGGAATTTAAAAAATTAATTGTTAAATTATAATAAATATATCAGTAAATAATGTATAGTTGTAATAATAATAATAATAATAATGGTTGCTTAAAAATTATAATTATTAATAAATGTTTAATTTTCTAAATATTATTGATTATATTTGAAAGAAAATTGCGATTGTGTAAAATTGTAATATATAACAGTTTATAATGTATTGTATTAACAGTATTGTTTTTTTACAAGTTATAAATATTATAAAATGTTTAATTTTATAAATATTATTAATTATTTTGGAAAACCAATGTTAGTTTCAATTATAAATATAGTAGTAGTATTGTATAGTTGTAAAATAATGGTTGTTTAAAAATTAATAAAAATAATGGATAGTCTTACATTAGATTATATAGCAATATATAATAACTAATGATTGTTTTGGTGATGATTGTAACATTTCCTTTCATAATTTAGTATCATTTTGTTTTTTCAGCTTTAACATAAGCCCAATTCTATTGTTGTTTTTCAGAATAAAGATTTAGCGAATGGAAAAGCCAGCGATGACGAAGACGAGGATGACGATGATGAGCCGGAAGAAGCAGAGGTCGAGCCATCTAAAGAAGATGTAAATGTTGAAGACGACCTGGAGTATTATTACGAACACATCCGCTTCATCGACAGCATGTTAATCGGCTCTGGCGCTTTCGGCAAGAAGATCTCCCTCCAGCCCACAGACCCCGGCTACGAATGGAAAGCTCCTAAAAAAGCCCACAACTCCCACTTCTCGCCAGACGGGGGTGCTGACGAGTTCGATTACAGCTCCTGGGACGCCATGTGTTACCTGGACCCCAGTAAAGCAGGTGAGGAGGACGATTTCGTGGTGGGCTTCTGGAATCCCTCTGAGGAAAACTGCGGCACGGACATCGGGAAACAGTCCATCTCTTATGACCTTCACACGGAGCAGTGCATCGCAGATAAGAGCATAGCGGACTGTGTGGAGGCTCTGCTGGGCTGCTATCTGACCAGCTGTGGTGAGCGAGCGGCTCAGCTGTTTCTCTGCTCTCTGGGCCTGAAGGTGCTACCACCGGAGAAGCAGAGTTCGGGAGGCTCTGCCGAGCTCCAGTACGGCTGGCTGAAGATCCCACCACGCTGCATGTTCGAACATCCTGACGCTGAACGCACGCTCAACCACCTCATCTCTGGCTTCCTGAACTTCGAGAGCAAGATCAACTACACGTTTAAGAACAAGGCGTACCTGCTGCAGGCCTTCACACACGCCTCGTATCATTACAACACCATTACAGGTCTGGATTTACACAGCATGTTGTTTTATGAAGCAGCCACGCCCAATACAAAAGTTTACATTCATATATTATGACAATTTTATTATGAATTGTAATGATTTTTATTCAATAAGTAAAAATTTTATTATTATTTATTAAAATAATAATAATTGTTAATAATGTATTAATATGATAATTATAATTATTGTCATTTATTCATAAAAAATAATACTATAATGTTGCACTATATAATGTTATTGTTCAAACTAAATTAAATTGGTTTATTTACAGTAATACTTTATAAGAATCTCAAATTTACAATACAATAATAATTATAAATATTATGCATTTTCATTTTTTATAAGATTAATATAATTTATTATATTTGTTTATGTATTAAATGTTTAAATTGTTTTTATTTTTAGTTTATTTTTAATATATAATAAATTGCCATAAATTAATATAAAATGATAAATTGTCTAATAAATATTAAATCTAACAAGTCATAATAGTAAATAATAAAATAAGTCCTAATAAATTACTTATTACTATTTAATAAATAATTAATCGTTGTTAAATTATATGTTAAAATTAAGATGTTAAAATAATCTTGTTTAAATCACGACAGATGTGTACTTTACAATACGACTTTACTATACACCATACAATTTTTCATACAAATTATATAGTGTTTTATATATATTTATATATGGATATATATATAGATATCAAAATAATTAGATTTACAATGTACAATAATATAATTTTTCTTTAGTTACTGTGTTTATTACTAATCGTTTTTGTGATAATCACCTCAAAACTCAACAAAATGTAACTACAGTGTAGGGTCGTGTTTAAAGGAGATGCCATCACGGATGGTCAATAGACATCACGATGCTTAGCTGACCCAACGCAGCAGCCACCCGCTCGCAAAAAACACACACGGTCCCGTTTACACTAATACATCTTAGTTTTAAAATGGCATTTTAGAACGAAAACATTTCACGTCCACACTATACCACTGAAAACACATCATGTGATCACACACAAACACACACTGTGTCATGCTGCTGCGTATGTGCATCTCTGAGCTACAGCAGTTGCAGTCAGCAGGTGTTTATGCAAGATATTATGGTGTAATATATAGTTCAACAAAAACAGGCCTAAACATTTTAAGTTGTCCTATTTATTCATTTATTTTTATTGTAAAATGTATTACTTAAACTACATAAAGGAAAAGAATCCAACAGCTGATGTACAGTTGTTGGGTTTGATCCCAGCCAAAAACTCATTTTAAAGATGCAGCTGGAAAGAATCATTTGTTTGTCAATTAGCATACACTCCTCGTATTATCATGCACACTGCACGCACTTGGCAAGAACAACTCTACAGAACAAAATATAGTATTTTCCATCATATTTTTCCACACGCACTTCATATTTTTCTTGTACTGTGTCACCGTTATATTAATGATCTGTGATATTAACAGTCTGATTTGAACCTTCTCTCTACCGGACAGATTGTTATCAGCGGTTGGAGTTTCTTGGTGATGCAATTCTAGACTACCTCATAACCAAGCACCTTTATGAAGACCCCCGGCAGCACTCGCCCGGCGTGCTGACCGACCTGCGCTCTGCACTTGTCAACAACACCATATTCGCTTCCCTGGCTGTCAAGTATGATTACCACAAGTACTTCAAAGCTGTCTCGCCAGAACTCTTCCACGTGATCGACGATTTTGTGCAATTTCAACTGGAGAAGAATGAAATGCAAGGAATGGATTCAGAGGTGAGCTGTTATCTGTAAAAAAGATATTAGGCCTTGGAAATCCTCCTTTAATTTATATGCTATCGTCAGCGTGAATGGATAATATTTCATCAAGATTTAGTAGCGTGACATCCTATCACTGGCGGTCATCGTCAATCTGGTCTGTGTTTGTGTTTGTTTTCATTTTTTGGGGATCGTGAAAATGCAGTTGGATTGAATTTATTTGGAAATGGTTATCTTGGCTCGGAATCTGGTCTTGTTTGACTGGAAAGCATTTTATGCCTAGGGGAAACAACTGGATATCGAAAGAGGAAAGACAAATTGAATAAAATAAGTAATGTTCTCCTTAATTACATAGCTGGATAATGTTGTCCCCGATATTAGACATTTAGGTCTTTTCAGCGTAATGCTAAAAGTAATTGATCGCAGTTCATTTTGAGGGGCAATGCCATTACAGTACTGCACAGCTGTCAGTTCACATTTATATGAGAAAGTTCAACAAGAAATGAAAATTTGTTCTTTAATTTACTTCAGGCAATTTAAGATGTGGGTGACTTCTTTTCTTTAGTAGAACATTAAAGAAGATATTTAGCTCAAACTTTAAGATTCAAACAATATACAGGCAAAACTAAATTAATACCCTTGGCTTCTTACGATACATTAAGGTCTTGTGAAGGGAAATGATCGTCTGTCCAGGAAACTGAACATTATGGTACAGCATCACTACTTTTAATCCACGGCCTCAGCAAAAGAGGATGTCTGGTTCATTTTCTCAAACCGTTTCTTTCAGACAGTCCACTTTTGGTTTAAAAGACTGATTAGCCAGTTTCTTCATTCAGTCACCTAATAATGAAGCTGAAATTAGAGTTGCGATACCCGTTATAATACCTTTGTCAAATATTGCATTTAAAATGCATTTGACCATGCCTAAACTGATATTAAGTTAAAAAAAAAAAAAGAGGTGAAAATCAATTTTGGATGACATTAAAGAGTGACTTTTTGTGATAATCATTAAATTCAGAAATAAATGAACCCATAAGGGCTGATCACACTGAACGCTCTTTTGCATCGAGAGGTGCTTTTTTTGCATGAATTACTAACGGCTGCGTGCCTCACATTTTAACCGCCTGCGCCTTGCATTTGCGCCGTTGCGTGCTGTGCGCTTGCAGTTTAAAAAAAAATACAACTCTGAGCATAAAAAGCGACTTACGTCAGTCGCTTCTTTTTCATTCTCCAATCAAATGAACGTGAGGCGGGGTTACCGTTGAGGTTACAGCAGTGTTTGTGTTGTCAAGACAACAAGTAGAATTTTGAAGATAGTGAGATGGTCAAAACATTGGGATCACTAGGATTTTTTAAAATAACCTTCTCACCAAGGCTGCATTTATTTAATAAAAAATACAGTACAACTTGTAAAATAGTGAAATTTTATTGCACTATAAAAAAAACGGTTTAAAAGTAGTTTACAATTTAATTTAATCATTTATTCCAGAGATTTTTAAAGATCAATTTTAGCTTCGTTATTCCAGTCTTCAGTGTCACATGATCCTTCAGAATCCTCTAATATTAATTATTATTATTATTATTATTATTATTATTATTAATGGTAATAGTAATAAAAGCAATAATGAATGGAGTAATAATTTCATTTGAAACTACATACAATAAGTAAATAATAAATAAATATTTAACAACTTTTTTTACATTTGTGTGCACGTGCGTGCGTTCTTTTTTCATTTTTTTTTTATGTTTCATTTTTTTTTTTTTTTTTTTTTAAGATTTATTTTTGGCCTTTATTATTAGATAGGACAGATTTTAGACAGGAAGCGAAGTGGGAGAGAGAGACAGGGGGTAGGGTAGGGAAATGTCGTCGAGCCAGGATTTAAACTCGAGACGCCCTGACGTGCTATTGCACCATATGTCGGCGCGCTAACCACTAGGCTATTGCGCCGACATCAGAGACTTATAAAAGGTTGAGTGTTTAAAGTATACATAAATACAAATCTTTATATAATAAAAATGCAAAACAACAAATTTGCATTAATTGTAAATTCTTAATAAACCCACTACAATAAATTAACACATAATAAAAACAAAACAATAACAGTGTGAGCTGGTCATACATTATATGTATTTTTAGTGACTGACAGAGTGGGTTTGAAATGATTCTTCATATTAAAGATCATTTATGTGGTTAAACATGCCTAGCATTTATTATTTTTGGCAAATTAAGAAAGCACCTTTTAAAGTCTTCTACAGGTAGTTACACTAAACATCCGCAGGTCAGATATTCCACAGAATAAGTGCTTATTAATTCTGAAAACTATGATTATTTTTGCTAATTATGATTTTATTTAATTGACTGCTGTACGTTTCAGGTTTCATTTATTATGATTTTATTTTTATATATTTTTTTCTTAACCGAAATGTTTTTTGATCAATGGTTTTTGTTTCCGTTTGCTAAAATAACGTTGCTTACGACCACAGTTATTTTTTCAGAAAACCATTTTCTGCTGTTTGTTGTGTGTGATTAGTTTGAGAAATGTGAATTTGACATGGAAAAACACCATTTTCTGTCCTGAGAGAAAACACTTATTTTCTGCGAATGGAAGAGGGAAAAAATAGAAAGAACTGGAATTGTTTTTGCTCTCTCATAGCTTCGCCGATCGGAGGAAGATGAAGAGAAAGAGGAAGACATTGAAGTCCCCAAAGCAATGGGAGACATCTTTGAATCGCTAGCTGGTGCAATTTACATGGATAGCGGGATGTCACTTGAGACAGTTTGGCAAGTGTATTATCCAATGATGAGGCCGCTCATAGGTAAGAGCCAAAGACAAACTGACGAGTAAATCACTTCTACATTTCTATTTCGTCTGATTGTGTGCCGGCTCATGTGGCGGAAACCACAAGTTCAGTCATTTTCAGACGTCTGTGCCATTTTTATGCATGATGAAATGTCAGATTGAAATGCTCTGCTTTTGTTTTTGTCTCGTTTTCTAGAAAAATTCTCCGCTAATGTCCCTCGATCCCCAGTGCGTGAACTCCTGGAGATGGAGCCAGAGACAGCTAAGTTCAGGTGGGAATGTCTTTCCCTCATACGCAAGCAAACTCTTAACATAATCATCTGCAAAATACACTCATGGTAGCAATCATTTGAATGTGCAAAACTTGATACGCCGTAAAAGTCAGTGTATCAGTGTGTGGTTCAGAGCAAATATGATGTCATCTGAAATAGTATGAAGTCTTCAGTTTCTGAGTCTCTACAAACCCCTCCATGAAGATTGGAAGCTGTAGTGTGACTGTGTGAGAGATTAAAGCATTCAGGCACAAGAAGTTGTACTATTTGTGACTTTAATAGAGATTCATTTTATTTAAAGTCATTTATGCAATGAACTCTATGCAGGGTTATTTTACATTTGATTGTTTAGTTTCCGCATCTGTAAATGATTCGACTCCACCACAACACTATAAAGCTGTTTATTTCACTTTTTTTTTTTATCTTTGCTTTGTTGTGCATTTCAATCAGTCTAAATTAATGAGTTATTTTCAAATAGAGCCGTTCAATCTGGTGAAATTGTATTCATATCATTATATATATATATAACACATCAGAATGTCGTTATCGTTGAACGTTTTCCAATATTGTGCCGCATTTGTGTATATATTTGTGAATTAATATAATATATGAAAACAGCTTAGTTTTCCACAAGGAAATTTTTGCTACCAGTATAACACTGTATAAATGAGTCTTGTTAATACCATGCTACCATCATTTTTACCAGTAAAATATATACTCACCGGCCACTCTATTAGCTACGCCTTACTAGTAGGTTGGACCCACTTTTGTCTTCAGAACTGCCTTAATCCTTCATGGCATAGATTGAACAAGGTACTGGAAATATTCCTCAGAGATTTTGGTCCATATTGAAGTGATAGCATCATGCAGTTGATGCAGATTTGTCAGCTGCACATCCAAGATGCGAATCTCTCGTTCAACCACATCCGAAAGGTGCTCAATTGGTTTGAGATTTGGTGATTGTGGAGACCATTTGAGTACAGTGAACTCATTGTCATGTTCAATAAACCAGTCTGAGATGATTCGCACTTTATGACATTGCACATTATCCTGCTGGAAGTAGCCATCAGATGATGGGTACACTGTGGTTATAAAGAGATGGACATGGTCAGCAACAATACTCTGGTAGGCTGTGGCAATGACACGGTGCTCAATTGGTACTAATGGCCCCAAATTGTGCCAAGAAAACATGCCCCACACCATTACACCACAACCACCAGACTGAATCATTGATTCAAGGCAGGATGGATTCATGCTTTCATGTTGTTGACACTAAATTCTGACCCTACCATCTGAATGTTGCAGCAGAAATCGAGACTCATCAGACCAGGCAACCTTTTTCCAATTATCTATTGTCCAAATTTGGTGAGCCTGTGTGAATTGTAGCCTCAGTTTCCTGTTCTTAGCTGAAAGGAGTGGCACCCTGTGTGGTCTTCTACTGCTGTAGCCCATTTACCTCAAGGTTGGACGTGTTGTGCTTTCAGAGATGCGCTTCTGCATACCTCGATTGTAACGAGTGGTTATTTGAGTTACTGTTGCCTTTCTATCAGCTCAAACCAGTATGGCCATTCTCCTCTGACCTCTGCCATCAACAAGGCAATCCCAGTAGATCAGCAGTTTCTGAAATACTCAGACCAACCTGTCTGGCACCAACAACCATGCCATGTTCAGAGTCACTTAAATCCCCTTGCTTACCCATTCTGATGCTCGGTTTGACCTGCATCAGATCATCTTGACCATGTCTACATACCTAAATGCATTGAATTGCTGCCATGTGATTGTCTGATCAGAAATTTGCTTTAATAAGCAGTTGGACAGGTGTACCTAATAAAGTGGCTGGTTAGTTTAAAAAAAAGATACAATTATTGTTGTTAATAATAATGTTGAAATGACATCAGTGTGTCAATAAACAGTGTTTTTAATTTGATTGTTTTTAAAAATTAAAAACTTAAAAAAATTTTTTTGAATAAAACATTAGTTTTGCCGCCTGCGTATAAATTGTTCAATTTACTTACAGAAGCATCAATGTTGTTTTTATGTATTATTAATTTGTGCTTCATCTCATAAATTTACCTTAATGTTATTAAAATCCTAAAAATGTCAATTATGTTTTACATTAAGTTTATTATTCAGCATGAAGTATTCTTGATTGATATTACAAAAAAAAAGCTTGCAATTGTTTTTATCTGATTTTTATTTATTTATTGTGTTTTATCAAATTTTTACATTTAAAATGAATATCGTTTGCTCTCTTTCTGGCAGCCCTGCGGAAAGAACTTATGATGGAAAGGTACGGGTGACGGTGGAAGTCGTGGGCAAAGGCAAGTTCAAAGGCGTAGGACGCAGCTACCGGATAGCCAAGTCAGCAGCCGCCCGCCGAGCCCTGCGCAGTCTCAAAGCCAACCAACCTCAGGTCCAAAACAACTGAGACACCCGGTCAAATACGCCGCAATGAACCAATCCAGTCACGGGATTTCAGCTCAATTCACATGGGGTTCATATTTCATGTTATTCTTTACGTGCGCAAACACAATCTTTTTTTCTCCCCAGCTTTGTTGGATCACGAGTGCTTTTCATGTATCGCAAGTGTTAAGAAAAAGGTCAGGTCTTCTTACACCCACAATTTCCCTATTTTTATTAACATTTAAAAAAAGAAAGATATATGCTCTGCTTCGTAGTAGTGGTTAAAATAGCTAAAGCTTATAGGTAGTATTACAGTGTACATAGTTCATAACTCCAAGCTATCAACTAAGTAAGAGAAATAAAAAAAAAGTGACATACAAACACAAAATTCCTCAATCTGTGCACTAGTGCCAGGAAGGGCACGTAAGATGGTGTTGGTATTGGAAGTGTTTTTATCTTGAGATGACTTTACTCTCAATCAAACTTGCACTTCTGTAGGGTCCGTTTTATTAGGTAGTTTTTTTTTTTCCGCCAGATCACAGCGGAATCGTTTTAGATCTATATTGTATTGAAAGTGAAAGGCCCTTGCATCCTTGAGACAGATAGGAATTTGACATTCCCGATTACTGTAATCAGCATAGTTGTGAACGGCACTTGAGGATGCATGTTCGTGTAGCCAACCGGATGGGTTGTATAGACGTCATAAAGCTACGTTATATTAAAAAACAAAAAAGAATTACGCTATTAAATGTTTATTACGACATATATATGTTGATACTTGGGTTTCAGTAATGTCTTTTGATACTGATATTGATGATATTTAGTTGACAGTCTTTATGAACATTAGATGTCTCCATAGACTGACTTAGTTTTGATATAACGACACGAACGATAAACAGGAGGACATATCACCTGGGAAAATATGCTGCAGATTTTATATTTAAAAAAAAGAAAAAAACAACAACGGAAAGAGAAAAATAGCATCGGATAATTCTGTAAGACACAAAGCACCTTTACGTACGTCTTTAGGATATTTCGCTAGATGACTTCACGCGCATCGCTTACCAAAGTCGATATTGATGCAGCGTCATGAGGTCGCACCTGTAAAAATCGATCCCTCAACATTCACACATTTGGAGATGTGGTAACCAGCCTTTAATTTAGCGTAAATGTGTTGTAGCCTCTCGTCTAGCCTAAATGTTTTCATATTAATAGGCATTCTTCACTTGAATACCTCAGTTAATTGCATGCATGTTTTTTTTTTTTGGTGCTATGTTTAAGCTTGAATTTCTCATCTTTTTTGCACTGTAACTGTATTACCTCTTAATTTTGTCTTTTTGAAATCTGTTGGGTTGGTTTTTCTGTTCTGTCAGCTCGTCAGGCTGTAGAAATCATTTCCCTGTTGTGTATTCTTTTAGTTTTTATGCTTGAAGGGGAAATGCTGAGGAAAAAAAAAAAACAGTTCTCCGCACATAAGCTTGATGCATTTCTGATGAGCTCGGATTTTCCTTCACGTGAAAACTGTTGTGTATCCTATTAGATGGGGTTGCTTGACACTTGAAAAAAATCGATGGATTGCACTCTTATAAGCCATGTGTCTCACTTTTTATTCTCTCTTTCAGTCTTACCAAGTCTAATCTGTTAAAAAAACAGTAAACTAATCATTGATACCCCATATATAAGGGTGCAAATTTTAATAAAAAATGTGTGAAATTGAATTTTTACATCTTAAAGGCTACCTAATTTCCCCCTATCTCATTCTGTCTGTTTAGTTATTATGTTATGGACAAACTATTCCTGAAGTTACATTTATCCCAGCCATTGCTACCTCAGAAGATCCTTGCGAATAGTTTGGCCTTATCATAAGATCTTGTTGTGCGGATATGCCTTCTAACAAATCTGAATGGCATTAAGGCACAGTATTGCTTGAAAAAAAAAACGCTTATCAGCACCTTAACAGGGGGATAAATATATACTCATGACTATTTGCACTAGAATACATTCCCACTGACATTAAGTTTGCATCTTTTAAATGGAGTTTGCTAAAAAAGCGGTGCCTTTCAACTCTGTAACATCGAAACTCTCGTCTTATGCTACTGTAGCAAGTTTTCGCATTTTGGTGCCATGCTTTATACTGGATATTGCCTTCCAATTGATTTGTTGGTCATTTCGTAAACCATCTAAAATTTGACATCGGTCCTGTCTTGAGAATGAGTGCAATCTGTTTCAATTTTCAAGAGTTGAGCGACCCTCTTTACATGATCTCAGTCGCAACCCCAGAATTTAGTATTGATAGTTATTGGAATTGAGCGGGATTCACATATTTGCTCAGCCAATGGCGTGAATTTGTGCATCAGGGTCAATGTGCGCCAGCCCTGCAATATGACACTGTTTCTGTAACCCTTAACCCTCAGACTATTGCAACTTTATTTTGTTTGTTTGTGTGTGTTCATATTTTTCTAGCTTGTTACGTATTCCCCCCCTCCCCTCCTCAAGCCTCTAAAAGGCACACACTTATTTACCTTTCACAAGCTTTCTTCTCACTGTTGGTTTTGAACTTTCAGAGAATGTGAAATCACAAATATGGTGCCACCGCATGGATATGAACTTTTTGTTTTCTTTTCTTTTTTTCCCCGGACTTATTTTTTTTGCAATCTAATAATCAATTATCAGTTCCCACAGAACTGATAACACCTTAAAAAAAGGAAAGAATTGGAGTGTTTTATCATCTGTGGGAGCGTTTTGTTAAAGTGGTCCTCCATCGTATCATATGCTGCAGATTGTATTTTCCTTCATGGTGGAGAATAATTCTTTGTGTGTTGTTTATTTTTACTTTCTTTCTTTTCTTTTTAAACATGTAGCACAAATAAGCATTGCACTCGGGCGCCATACTTTACCTCATGTCAGAACGATAAAAAAATAAAATAAGATAAAATACAAAACGTGTATATATGATGCCGTAACGTTTAAAGGAATAACTTGTGGTTTCGGCCTTGCTGCTGTTTGCAACGCTGGTATTGTACCAATGTATTTAAAAAAAAAAGTGATCGGAGAGATACAATGTGCCTGCAGGATATCATCAGAGAAAAACACTGTAGAAAAGTAGTTTCAAATCTCTACAATCTGGGGCTAAATATGTGTCCTATGTGTACATTCATGTCCTGCCTTAATGTAATTCTTTGAATATGGAATTGTAATGTAACCCGTCAAGTCTTTGGACTGGCATGATTTTAATATGTTGGGGCCGCGTCGTCCCTTTCCCCATAATCCCCTTTCTCCCATATTAGTTGGAGTATATACATCCTGATGTATTAGTGCATGTCAGTGAAGACTTTCCCTTCTCACCAACCTGTATTTCCTTTTTAGACTAAATACATTGTATAGATCTGATTACGTCAGCCCTAGATTTATTTACAAGGGCTTTATTTCATAACAAAGTGTCATATTTGTTTTTTTTAAAGACAAAAAAAATATTGTAATTGCCTGATTTAAAAGTCAAATGCACTCTTAGCAGCAGCAAGGTGTTTAAAGACAACATAACAGGACTGGAATGTGTGGCGAGCTCCTTTTGCGGGGAGTTTATGGGATTGTTGAGCACCGTGGAGCACTAAAAGTTTTGAACGGGAATTATGGGCCACAAACTGCAGCTCAATTTCTGTATTTTTAAGGGACGTGTATTTAAATGACTCTTTCTCATTCATACTGTATCAGTGCTGCAGTGGTATGCATTCTGCACCTTATGGATCACAAAAACCTTTACAAAGTCTGCCCCCCTCCCCCCTCTTTTTTAAGTAATTGTAGCTGAGTATATCTACAATAAAGTTATGGTATGGTCGTTCAGTTGTGGGGTATGTGTGGTCTTTTTGTCACTTATGCTGTCTTCAATAGGTACACCTTGTGAGTACCAGGTTATCTTTGGAAACATTCAAAATAATTTGGTCCATATGGCGTCATATTTACTACGGATATTGATTATGTGAATCTCTATCTCAATATTTGTCATTGTACATTGATGCAAATCTCCCATTACAATTAATGCCAATTGTGCTCTACAGGATAAAGATCTGATGGCTGTGGAGACATTTAGAGTTTATTAAACTCATAATGTTAAAGAAGAAAATTGGAGATGTGCTGGAAGTCACCATCACAATATTTGCACACTGTGGTCATAAAGGGATGAACAAGGTCTACAACAATACTCATGTAGACTGTAGCGTTTAAACAATACTCTGCTGATGTTAACGGCCCCAAAGTGTGTCAAGAGAATATCCAACCATTAGCACCAGCAGCCTGAACTGTTGATGCAAGACAGGATGCTATCTCACACTATGCTATCTGAACCGTGCCCAGACCAGTTTCCCGGATTGTTTGAGAAGTGTGAGTGTTCTGAATTAGGCTCACACGTGGTTCACTTGGGCTTTGGCGCAGTACGCTTGTGTGTGAGAACGTGCCTGTGCCCGAGACTAAAGCGAGACATGGATTTTTAAAATCTGTTTCAGATTTATTAATCATTCTTACTGTTCAATAAACACAAGGTGTCATCCTTTATTAAAAACGCAAACCCCTCACTGCACGACAGCTGCACCTTCAGCAAACCTCCTAATTCCTGCAGAATGAAGACTTTATGACTGTTTATGATCGTCAAAAGTGGTGGATCTGTTCAGCGAGATATTTGACTGCATGTCACTGCATATCAAACGACTTAAGCGATAAAACTAAAGAAATGTCCACTGTGCTGAGCGAGAGCGCATCTTACTGACCAGCGCATCATCGATGACGTAAGGTTGCCCAGGCCCGAATGTAATATGAGTGCGGGCCGTCGGGGGAGACGGGATGGGGGACAGGCGTGCTTTGGCTTGGTTCAAGGCAGCAGTACATAGTGTGAGTACACCCTTATGCTGCGGTCACTCTGGACTTTTTGCCACTTTAAACTTCTATTCATACGCATGCGAATGCGTCAGACCGGAAACGCAAGCTCGTGTGACAAGTTTCGCAGTTCGCTGCGTTGCAAAGTTCAAGCAAGGTGAACTCTGACCTGCGAAATCGCATCATGTAATTGCGTGAGACAAATCGAAGATCAAAACATGACCTCTCTAGACAGAAATTTTTAATATGGACCAAATGGCTCACTTTTTTATATCTAATCCCGCCTTCTTTCACAGTGCCGTATGACAGATTTAATCTAGTGGGACATTACAAACAAAAGAAACATATCTACATACAATTTGAAATCTCTGCTTTTAAACAAACCAGTTACACTTGAAAACAAATGTTCTCTGGTTTTAAATTCTGAATGAAACCTCATGAATTCCCGCCATTCAAACGCAAATGACATGATGACAACTCATCACTTGAATGCCCACAAACTTGTAAACACAGAAATCGGGGTCATTTTGAGAAGAGATTTGCCATCAGGAAAAGGATAGCCAAAAAAAAACGTTGTTTGGAAACAAAATTTTAAAACCGATGAAGTTAAATTTTATTGGTAATTCCAAATATGAAATTTAATCGTAAGCTCGGCAAACCATTTTGGAGGATTTGACGTTTTTCCATTCAAAGACACATGCATGCCCACTTGCCTAAAGGGACCACAGATTCAGTGTCACTGAAATCACCTTGCTTCTTCATTCTTGGTTTGAACTTGTGCAGATCTTCTGCACCACATCTTATGCTTAGATGTGTTGAGTTACTGCTATGTTATTGGCTGATATACACTTGCAGTAACAAGCAGTTGAACGGGTGTTCCTAATAAAATGGCCAGTGAGTATATGTGCATTTCCAGATCCTGCCTGAAAAGGAGAAATGATGTATTAGATAGTTTTATGAGCTGCACGGCTGTGGCTACTAATACGGTGTGAAAAGCCCGGTCACAGGCCACAGTGTAAGCGTGGGCTTCGTCGTTCAAGTGCATGCTGATGACCTCAGTATTTTCCTAACCCAAGCAGTGCTCCTGCCTCCCGTTTACGAGTGTTCTGAGGCCGCTCCAGTTTAGATGGACTCAGCAACCATGACCGATGTTTTAATCACATTTGCACAGAGTCTTATGTAATAGATGAAGTAGGTATGAACTGTGTTTGCGAGTATACCTTTTCACTCTCCACGGGCCTTTTTATGGTCTTGTTGTATCCATTTCGCCACTTACACATTTTGTATGGCTGCATCGATGTTTGCCAAGAAGTAAAAAATAGCGAGTTGGAACGTTCACTCTTGGTAGGTGAGAAATGACCTCACATCAGCTGTGCAAGCATTGGAGCATATATTCTGATAGAAGAGTTTTGCCATGGTGTAATTAAAATGTGGGTTCGAAAGAGACATACTGTACACCCAGCAGTATTTTATGAATTATGATTGCTAATGCTTGTTGATTTGGGACGGTTTGACACCTATAATGCCAGCATGATGCTCAGAGTGTTCTTACAGTAAGGTTCAGTCCACAGTGAAAATCTGAAATGGTTTCAAATTCTCAAAGTGAATTGAAAATAAACAAAGAAAAGGAAAACATATTAATAGAAATGATAGAAAATGGGTAAAATAGTGTATTTATTACTGTATGTGTCTAAACAGACAATAATAATCACCAAGACTATTAAAAGCTTGTGTTGTATGAGAAACGTGCACACAGAAAAGTTCATAAATCAGACACCTCAAAAACACACCTTAAAATGTATTTAAGTGTGAATAAAAATCTAAATTTGCAGGTTTCAAAATGGTTCCATTAAAAAAAAAACAATTACAGAAAAGTATTTTCTTTTCTTACATTAAAAAAAAATAGCAATGTTCCACAATCAAATTGTTTTCAGGACAGTCTTTGAAAAGGCCTCTAATTCTGCGTTTACACCAGATGTGGAAGAAGCGTCAAGCACGAGTGATTTACATGTAATGATATGCGTGAATGGCATGACGCGAATAGCACAATGCATATTGAATATTGTGCGCGTTTGACGCACTTAACGAACAAATAGGGCAAATCGCTCAAGTACGAAAATCTGAACTTCAGTGGACAATGCGCTGCGTTAACCAATCAGGAGCTTGCTCTTGTGGGGGCATGATTATGACGTAGCGCCTGTTGTTGGTGTCCCGGGGGAAAGTCTTCCTGCATACACCGACAACAGTTCATGAAACTGGGCTTGGCTTAGTCAGAAGCACCGCTGAAAGCCTCCGTCATCCAGGTTAAGTTTTTGGAGTATATGAGCTCACAGAGCTGGATGCACCTCTGAAAGCATCTAGTGGACACTGCTCCAAACGTATTAGCGCTGTTTTTCAGCCTTCATAAAGCACATAAACACAGTTATTTTCTTCATAAAATTCATGTCAGACATTTAGCAACGAAGCTACAGTCACCGGGCAGACAGAAGCTCTTTCCATGATGTGAATCCGCGTCTCTTCTGAAGTAATTTTGACTCGCGAATGAAGCGAGTAAACGTGTCTATTTACGTGCGAATACCGCAACTTATCTTCACATTCCACGTCTGGTGTGAACACAGCATTAGTGAAGTAAAATATCCAGCTAAGGCTTAAATCCAGAAGTGCACCAGGTTTAAAACTATTTATTCATTTGTAAAATAGCCGACTCAGAGTGGTTCAAATGAATCGTTGGGGTAACAATTTTTTTGGCCTGATGTCAATACAGAACTTAAGTCTTAGCCATTTTTGTTGCATGCACAGAGCCAGGAAAATTTACATTTTTTTATTATTCTTAAGAGATTCAACCATATGGGTGTACATATGCATATTATTTAATAAAATTCTGTCTGAAGATTCAGTGAGATATGGAAAAGTATGTTCAGCATGTTTTGTATAAGATTTTTGACATATTGCTTCAGCTTACATAACCATGTCCATATAGACAAAATCACAAAAACTGATAATGCTTAAATATTTAAAGATCTTTTAAAATTATGGTCATTATACTCTTAACACAAAGTTTTGTTCTTGTACATCTTTTAGAAAACTTTGTGTCTAGTAAGAATTGAGGCACATTCTAGCCTGAAATATTTTCATCCCTGATATAATAGAGGATCTGAATTCATTTATTACAAATAGTGTACAGTGGTCTCTCTCTATAACACGGTTCACTTTTTCGCGGCCTTAGTTTTGATAGTGGTTTTGGTACAATTTGACATTTTTTTCCAAAGTGCACTGTGTTCTGCATCCTAATTAGTGCATTGTGTTCTGCGTCCTGACTGGCTGTAGACCCTTGTCAATCAATCCCCTTTGTGCCTTATCTCCTGTACGGTATAGAATGCGTTCAGCTTGCCAAATGTACATAAATCTTCGATCGCTAGCAGTAGCTATGTTTCAATACGAAAATGCAAATTAACTTTATGCACAAAACTGGATTATCGCATAAAAAATGTGCAAATAAAGCAGCGTTTCCATCCAATGAGTCAAAGAGAACAAAATCGTTTTCCTGATTAACTGGCTCCAGATATCAACAGTAAAAACTGCATTTGCTGCGGTAGGACAAGCTGCGGGAATCTTTTCCTTATTTAATAAATAACTTGCACTTCAGGAGGCAATCCTGACACGCAATAAATGCGCGGTGATGTTTGAAGGCGTGAGTCGCAGAGCACAGATGCTCTTGACGCACTGAAAACAGTGTTGCATGCAGAACTGTTGCAAACTATTTATTTGTGTTGAATTTAAACACACAAATTAAGTTTAATAATGTTCAACTTAATTTGTTTGTTTAAATTCAACAAAAATAAAGTGTTTACAACCACTTAACGTAAAAAAAAAGATTAAATCCAAGGAATTATCTCTGAATCATTTTTTTCAGTGCAGTTCTGGAGGTCATTAATAATATAATAACACTGATACTGAAACGGTTAAGACCCAAT